GGGGAGCTAGCCATCGAAGTGCTTTAGAGGACCACAAATTGCAAGTAAGACGTATCTATCTATCCACTGCAGACCGGACAGCAAGTCAGACAGGCACACAGCAGGCAGGCAGGCCACTCACTCAGTACAAGGAGGGAGGGAGACAGATGTGTGTGGGTTGGTTCACTAGCCGCCAAAGAGATAGATGGATGGATGGATGGAGTGATGCAGTGATGCCGTCTGTCTGCATTATGTATGCATGCATGCATGTATGTGTATGTATGTATGTATGTATGCGATAGATGGAGCGATCAGATCCCTCCCCCCACACTACAAGACAAAACAACACAACACACGACACGACAAGACAAGACACGACAACAAATTACACATCAACACGCACTCCAAGCCCCAGTTAGTTAGTTATCAACGTACGTACAAAAGCAGACAGACGACCAAAAGAAGCAAGGAAGGAAGCCAGCCGGACAGCCAGGTATGTACCTAGTGAACCAACTTGTCCATGCCATGCAAACGAAAATCAAGCATCCATCCACCCGAATGAATGCTATGTCCATCCCTCCCTCCCTCCCTCCCTTGGTCCGTCGTGTGTCGAGTCCATCAGGGTGCATACATACATACATACATACATAGGTACGTCCATGCGGACTCTCGTATTGAGAATACATGCACGCACCTGCACACCCGATACGATCGATACACACCACACCACACGACCGCCGGCAAAGGGGGCCCCACCCGCCCACCCACTAAAGACAGACACACACAACCCCCAAAACACGGCGTATGCATGCACATCCACCCACCCACCCATGCCATACACGTGCACACATGACGATAAAACAACCGTCCCATCAACCAGCCAACCAACAATGACCAACGAATCAATCAATCGATGAGGCATGGGCGGGTGAGTGCATAAATAAAACACAACCATTACAGAGAGAGGTAACTTGCCTATAGCCGTCAGTCACACCACACACACCACACCCATGGATGGACGGATGGATGTACAGAAAAAGACACACACACATCAAGAGATCAAGAGATCAAGACAGACAGACAGACAGACATCCAAGCGAACGAGGGAGGAGATGGGCAGACCGGCAGGTAGACAGGCAGACAGATAGATAGGCAGATGGAGGGGCATGGAGGGGCAGGAAGTAAGCGAGTTACTTACTGCGTTACCTACACTTGTGCAGGGAGGGCACACAGACAGACGCACGTACCGTACAGGCCCAGACATGCAGACAGACAGACAGACAGACATGTGAGTGAGTGTGTAGCTAGGTCCACGCATCCACTCACTCCACTAACTCACCCCTCTACCCCCATGGATGTATATGCACTCACTGCACGGGTGTACTGAGTGCGAGTGCGATGGATGGAAACGGACGGAGTGGTCCATGTCCTGTGCTGTGCTGGCTTGATGAATGAATGAATGAATGGATGAATAAAGCACACACAACGTATACCGATACGTATACACACATAGATAGCATAGCTTGATGTGTGTATGTGTATTGGTATGTGTTATGTGAGTAGATGAGATGGAGTCGGCAGGCAGGCACTCACTCACAAGCAGCGGGGGGGCTCGGTTCCACCACTCATGGCATGTCACACTGACTGAGGGCACACACACACACAAAGAAAGACATAGATAGGCAGAGAGTGAGTGACATTGACTAGAGGATGGGAGGGAGGAGAAAGCACTAACTAGTCTGTTCGTGTGTTCACGAACCCACTCACACACAGTGGACTTGCCTAACGCGTTGGTATGAGTACAAATGCATGGGCTTCTTTATACGTACGTACTTGAGGAAGGCAGCCAACGCGCCAGGACTCAGTTTCGCCAGTTGCAGCACAAGTAGACTACCTCACTCACGGGGCTGCACACACACACAGTACGGACACGGACACACAGACAGACAGACCGACAGACGGACGGATGCACTCACTCACTCACTCACGGAGAGAGCAGCGAGAGGCCCCATAGCACGTCAGTCCCCTCACTAACTCACTAACTGAAGCACACCCCTCTCTCCTCTCTCCCTCCCTCTGTTTCCCTCTCTCCCTTTCTGCTTGCTTACATGTCCTTGTTGCCTATGTCCCCCCTCTGTGTGGCCATGTGCAGTGCCCGCGACCTCGGGGTCAGGTCACCATGCGCCTCCTCAGGAATTGCAAGCACACCGCTGCTGTTGGTACCCTCTGAAGACCCCTGCCGCGTCAACCAAGACGACTGGACCCCCACAGCCGCCATGCCCAATGCAGGCTCGGAATTGGCGCTGTTTGGCGGGACGGTGGTAGTGGCGCGGCTGCCTACTTCACCCTCGTCAAGCACACGCGAGAATATGTCCAACTTGTGCTTGCGGAGCAGCTCCGACAGCTTGGTTGTGGTCGCGCCAGTGGCAGTGGCCGTGGCGTGCAGTGGTTCCTCGTCTGTCGCCCTGTCGTTGGTGCCATCGGGAGGCGTCTTGGACAGGGTGGTGGGCGTGTTGGTGTCCAAGGGTGTCATGTTGTCGGCGTCCGTGGGGTCCAGCTGCTCGGTGGTGAGCGTGGGGGCGGCCTCGTAGGCCTTGTTGGGGTTGGCGCGGCGCCGCCGGCCGCAGCAGCCGCCATTGAGAAACCAACTGGTGACTGCCTGCCATATGCACTTGCGGATGCCGACCACGGCGTGGAACATCTTGCTCTTGGCCCGCTTGGGGAATTGCAACTCCACGTCGAGACCCAAACCGCTGGCCGCACCTGCACGTGGACACCAACAGGTGCAGTGCAGGCGTTGGTTGCATGCATCGACTGCCTCGTGTGCGTGGGTGGTGCTTGCCTTGCCTTTCGCACGTCTGTGTGTGTGGGTCTGTGTGTTGCTCACTGTGTTTGAGGACTTGTGTGTGCATGTTTTGCTGTCTGGAGAGTATCTGTGAGACCATCTCCTCGTCGTCCAGCAGCGCCACGTGCAAATCCTCAACCTGACAACAAACATCAATCAAACAACACAAGACATCGGCCGGCCTCCCTCCCCCCCTCCCTCTGATGTCCTTGTCTTACTAACCGTCATGCCCAGCTGTAGTGCCTCTGATCGAGCGTCCCTCGCGAGCCGGTCGAAGGCCTGACGGATGCCCACTATCAGACGAACCTGCACACATACACACAGGGAGGGAGGGAGGGATGGATGTGGTGTTGGTTGGCTCTCTCTGATCACATCATGTGTGCCTATCTATCTATGTAACATACCTTTTGTATGGCACATCTCCACCGCACCCGCGGGTGCTTCTTGAAGGCCGCCTCCGCATCAGCCGGGGTGCCACTCCCGCTCACACTCAGCAGCCCGGCTGACGTCTTGCTGCTCTTCCATACCTTGCGGAATAGGCTCACTGCAGACTCGCTGCCCGTCGAGGGGCGGCCGCTCGCAATGCTTGACGTGTTGGATGGCAGACGGAAGAACGAATGCAGCTTCTTGACGCTACGCCCACGGGGGAGGGCCGCAGGGTCGTTACTGCCGTCGGCAGTCTTGCTCAGGTCATCCTCCCCGGCCTCCTTCTTGTCTGCCGCAATAGGCGCAGCAGGAGGTGTATTGTCCTGTTCATCGGCGCTCTCGATTCCGCTGCTGCGGTTGCTGTCGTGTGTGGTGGTCCGCTCCAGCACCGCACCAGCGGGCGGGGGCGGCAAAAGGAGCTTGCCGGTGCCCCCATCACCCACACTACCATCGCCATCGGCCGTCGCGTTGTCTCGCCTGGATGTGGCGTCGAGATCCTCCTCCTCAATGCTCTCGAGGTTGCTCTGGTTGGTCTCCTTGCGCAGCAGGGACCTCGGCGCCGTTGCAGGTGGTGGGTCCTCAGCCTCACCGTCGGATTGGCCCCTAACCGAGTGATCGGTGTCGCTCTCCTCCCCGCCCACGGCACTCTCGAGCAGCCCACAGGTGCCGGCGGCACTACTCTGGTTGGTACCCATACGTGAGAGGGGCTCTTGGGTGGTCAGCGAACGGTCGCCAGCCAGAGGGGGCGACAGCAGCTTCTCACTCATGGTTGCAATCCCCTTGCCACCATCATGGAGGTCCAGGGCGGCCGAGATACCCCCGACACCACCAACACCCGTCGCCCTTGAATCGCCCCCTTCCCGTCTCTCAAACGCATCGGGGCTGAGGCTTCTGCCCCGCCTGAAGGCACTCAGTGCCCGCACGGCCGTGGCCACTGATCGGAACCGCCGGAGTGCGTCGGATGGAGGGTCCATAGCTGTGCTGCTGGCCTCCCGTGAGGGCGGACTGTTTTCTCGTGTGAGGCTGTTGGACCTGCCCTGCAGGCTTCCGGGTGTGGATGTCCTCCTGAGGATGTCGCTGGCCTGCCGGATGAAGGCTGGGGTGGAGGGGGTCCGCTGCACCGTGGAGGAAGAGTTGGTGGCGGACCCGCGTGTGCCAAACCGCTTGCTCTTCTTCTTGACCATCGCAGCCTTCCTGCTGCTGATCACTATCCCCTGCAAGTAGATGCAAACAGACAGCCACACGGGGTGGGCGGCTGGCTGGATGGTCAAACCACACCGATCCCATGCTAACTAAGGTGCGTGCTTACCTTGAGCATTCGGATGCCGACAGGTTCCCTGCTGGTGCCTGCCAGCAGCAGGTTGGGGTCGATGCGTTTGATCTCCTCTCTGGCCTCGGCCAGCTGCTTCTGTGTGGCCTGGCGGTGGAAGACCCGCACGATGGCCTCGTGGACGAAGAACACGTCGAAGTAGGCCACCGCCTTGTGCAGCTGCGGCGCTACCGCCTCCTGAACTACCTCCTTGACGAAATCCCTGACACACGATCAACGAGACAAGGGACACCAGTTCCACAATCCATATGCTCTCATGCCATGCGTGGCGTCGTATGGGTGTCAGTCATTCACTGACTTTTCTCTTTCTGAGAGTCGTGAGATGTCGAGCAGCTCGCCCCTGGCGCCCTCTCCCTTGCGCAGGTAAATCTTGCCCTGGTCCAGCATGACGATTGACCGGATCACCTTGGGCACCGGCGGCGGCCAGATGTACTTGGTGCACCAACCCGACACACGACGGCCGAATGACGACTGGTGCTTCCCTCCGTGGGGCTCCTTGCCGTCCTCTTCATTGCTGTCACCAGCCCCTTCCTCTTGTTGCTTGAGGTTATCGAGGGCCTTTGTCCGTGTGTCCATCCAGGCCTTGATGTAGGACCGGCAGAACCACAGCAGCGCCCGCACCACAAACACACCCTGCAGGCAGGCATATGGGGGGATCAAGACAGAAATGTATGTATGTATGCGGACGAAGAGAGAGAGAAGGGCGGGTGGGTGGGTGTTGACATACGTACGTGGAACACGATGATGAATATGACGACGGCGTACTCGGCACCCATCTCCAGCACACTCGACTCGGCATTCAAACTCTCCTGTGTACCGCATCCATCGCACACACACAACACAACACAGCGGGATTCAATGAATGCGTATGAGCTGCCAGTGAATCAGCCAGCGGCCATCCACCCACCCATCCCTACCAGCACGGGTACACAGAGTAGTGTGAGGAGGTATGCCCAGAGTGCGTGTGCCTCCAGCGAGTCGCACACCTTGAACGCCCTGTTGTCGTACGGCTCATAACACGCTAGAAACACATGGATGACACACACCCCACGTTGTCCATTTCTGAATCGCCCCTGAGTCTCCCTCCCTCTGTCTGTCCGTCTCTTGCTCACCGTTAAGGAAGAGTGACACGACGGCCAGCAGAAGGAAGACGATCAGCTGATGTGTGGAGTTGACGAACGGCAGGGCCTCGGGCAAGTCGACCATCACACGACGAAACATCGCCCACGCCTCCCCTTATATATATGACACACACATGTCATGACACACACAACAAAGCCGTGTCAGCCAATAGTGTTTGTGTGCGTGGTGCCTGAGGCTCACTTACACCAGTAGAACTGTGGTTCATATCCGCTGTAGAGGAATCCATATCGCTTCTTGACGTTTTCCTCGTGGAGTCTGTGTCGTATGCGCCACATGACGACCACGACGAGGAGGGGCAGGCCGAGGGTCCACAGCAGCACCCCAGCCACCGACAGCCAGTACCAGGGCATGTGGTCGCCCTCACACACCACACTCGGGGCGGCATCCACTCGCGGACGGTCTATCGTGATGCAATTCATGTTGATCACAAATTGCTGAACAAACCAACAAACCAAACAAACGACAAATGAATGAATGGGCGGGCACTGTATTGTTGCTGTTTGTCTGTCTATTGTCCGTCGGCTTGGCTTGGCTTCCCTCTGTCTTCTCTCTTTTTAGCCTACACACCCCAGCCCACCTTGGTCATGAGAGGGTGGAGCAGTACGATGAGTACGACAATACATGAGGTGGCCTTCTGGCCGACCTCAGCCCAGAAACTCTGCTCCTCATCCTCCTTGCCACGCAAAAAGTTCTGCAGCCGACCCAAATACACGTTGTTGGTCTGATCCTGCTGATCACCCCCACGACCACTAGCACCCTCCAATGCAGTACCACCAGCACCCCCGCCACCGCTGCCACTGCCGGCTGCCGCTCCTGCTGCTCCTGCTGTCGGCTGCGACTCTGTCTTGGGCCGTCTCTTGCGGGAGACCCAGACCTTGGCAGCGTAGAAGCCCGTGATGACCATGACAGTGGCTGGGGGGAAGAGGAACGCGAGTATGCAGAGGACGTGTATCGCGGGCATCGAGACGACGGCGCACTCGAGGCCGACGAAGTTGAGAAGCGGATTCGTGAGCGACTCAAGGTACATGATGAAGGACGAGATCGACTGGACGCTCTGCAGACTCACCACCTCCATCGCCATCCCCACAGCTGGACCGCTGCAACCAACAAATGCAATCAATCCAATGCAGACAGACAGACAGGGAGGGAGGGAGGAAGGAAAACAAAAACACACGACATTCATTCGTTTAGCCATGGCAGTCAGTCAGTCAGTCAGTCAGGGGGGAGGGGATCTCACTCGGTCACTCACTGACCATATCTCAAACCACGTCTGGGCGATTTTGAATATGGATCCCTGAACGCCCACCGACTCAGCGCCGTCGATGAGTGTCCACCTCATGAGGAAGGCCGCCATCCCGAAGCACACCCCGAGGATGAGGCCCAGCTTGACCCACGCCCACCAGGGATCCTCACACTCGCGACACGGACCGTAGTGCAGAAACGGATCCGCAAACCCATCCCTACACACAGACAAGACAGACAGCCAGTACTGCAGTACACCACTAACCTGCGTGTGTGTACGTCTGTGTGTGTGTGTGCCTCCCCTCCCTCTCTCTCTTGTGTTAGTTAACACGACCGACTCACTGGCATGTGAGGCAGAGGTCGCCGGTGGATCCCTTCTGGCACACATTCTCCCCCAAGCACCGCTCCTCGTCGGGGCACTGCAGGAACGTGTACAGCTTGGACGACTGCGCGTACACGTCAAAGTCAGCCTGGTCGTTGGCAGACGGACCACCACCACCACCTGCCGCTGACGCATTGCCCGAAGCCGATGGTGCTGCTGCTCCTGACGGTGATGACGAGACGGCAGATTTGCCAGCCATGGGTGGGGCTGGCGTGCCGCTTCGCTGTTCGTTCCCCTGCCAGTCACCGGGTGCGAGGAAGGTTGTGAACCGATGGTAGCCGGAGAGGGCCACCGGGTTAGCTCGCTGCTCGGGCAACGTGCAGTTGGCACCAATTGGACACTGTAATCCATGTTATCAATCACCCACACGGACAGACAAGAGGTATGTGCAGGCGGTGCTGTGCTGTGTCCAGATGCCTTGGCTGGCTGGCTGGGCTGACCATGGTGCAAGTGGACGCCGCGGCCTCCTCTGCGATTGTGCCCTCAGGGCACTCGGAACACTTGGCGGACGACATGAACGCTGCGAAAAAACCAGGCCTGACACACGTGACACATAAACACACACACACATGACACATTGCAGTGTGTCTGTGGCTGCCCCCCTCCCCTCCCCTCCCCTCCCCTCCCCCCCGCCCAACTGACTCACTCGCATGGCAGGCAGGAGATGGCGGCTCTGCCGGCGTGGTATCCCTTGGGGCATCTGTTGCACTCAAACATCCCGGGTCGTGGCGAGGCGTTGCCCACAGGGCATGCCTCGCACTGCTCCATATCGTCCCTGCGGTAGTATCCGGGGCTGCATGGGCGGCAGAAGTCCGACGACCGCCACTCGTCGTCCACCACAAAATGGCGCCACAGGGCTGGCTTGGGCGGCTCGTACCCGGGCCGGCAACCAAACATGAGCTGCTCAAACACCACACGCAGCTGCTCCCTCACCTGGCAATCATCAAACCATCCATCCCAAAGACACAGACATTCAGACACTGGTCGGCCGGTCGGTGCATCCATCCGCTACCACTGACTGACCATTTTCTCAGCGAGGCTCTTGGGTATGCCTGGGGTGAGGGATGGGTTCTCGAATAGGGTGATCTGGTTCTCCAGGGGGACGTTATAGAAGACGTCGGGTATGTTGCCCGAGAGCTCGTTGCCGTGGAGGAAGATCGACCGTGCCTTGGTGAGGTTGCCCATCGACACAGGCAGCTCACCACTCAACCTGAGGGGAGGGGGGCGCCGAGAGAGCGAGACACCCAATATACATAATGCCAGTCCATCGATGCCATCGATGGGGCGTCTTGTGTGTGTGGAGTGGGTAAGTCAGACAGACAGTCCATGCATACATACTTGTTGTATTGCATGTACAGGTGTGTGAGGTTCTTCATGCCGGGGTAGGTCACGTTGCCGTCCTGCCCCTCGCCACCGCCTATGCACGCCGGCACACTCCCCTGCATGTTGTTGCGCGCCATCTCAAACCTGACACACAGACAGACAGAGCAGATAAGCAGAAAGGTGGCCGACTGAGTGTTGGTGTCATTCATTCATTCATTCATTGATTGATATCCCCTCACTGACTCTTCCAGCATGGTGAGCATGCAGACTTGGTCTGGCAGCTGGGCCTCCAGTCGGTTGCCCCCCGCCTTCAGAATCGTCAGGGAACCGCAGTGGCCGATCGAACGCGGCAACGTCCCCCTCAGCGAATTCTGAACACACACACCACAACACACCACACGCACAAACACACACACATGGACGTACCGTACGTACGTACGTCAAGACACCGCATGCACCCTCGAGTCAGTCGATGCTTGTGCGTGCAGTGCTTCCACCCACATGACATACATACATGTCCACATACACGTACGTACCTCTTCGAGATAGAGTTCTTTGAGCTTTGATTTCTGGGAGGGGTCTTGTGGGCACAGGTTGGGTGTGAGGTCGGGGATCTGGCCGTCGAACTTGTTCTTGGCCAGGTTGATGCTGCTGCAGTGCGACAGCTGACCTATCTCGGCCGGGATAGCACCACCCAAGTCTGCTCTCATACCATACCATACACCACCGCACACACCCAACACGGGCACACATGACATGTCAGTCGACCCATTTATCCATCCATCCATAAGTACAGACACTGACTGACTGATTCATGTGTGGGAAGGGAAGGTAGCTAAGCTGACCGGCGGCCTGCAGCATGAGTTCATAATCCTCTTCGTTGCATATGATGGCGTCCCACATTCGGCAGAAGGTCCGGCTGATGTTGAACCGGCCCAGCGACTCGACTCCCTGGTTGTTCTCCAGTAGGGCGAAGTAGAGGTCGGCCACTGCCAGTTTGTCGTCTGCGCAGACTTTGCAGCTCTCACCGCAGAACAAGCAATCGCGGGGCGTCTCCGCCACCCCCCCTGGCCACACCAGGTCCGACTCGTTGGTGAATCGCCAGCTGTCCGTCTCCCACTTGGCCACCTCCGCCCAGTCCGTGCCCTGGTTGTTCATCAGGACGTATCGCCCCTCTCCCTCCCTGTCTTCACCCAGGTGCACACGACCAGTGACGCCGTCGAAGTCTATGTCGGGCAGGGCGTCGAGGAGCAGCCTGCCGAGGGGGTTGACTTCGAATGATGCGCTGGACACGTTGGCGGCTGAGGTCGTCTCGTTGTCTGCTGGCTCGGGTAGTGTGCCGTTGAAGCCCTTCAGGGCCTGGTCGAGGGCTCGTGCGGCCAGCTGTGCGGCGTCATAGCTGTAGAGCACGTAGTTGCTCAGCGACTCCTCCTCCGCTCGCGTCAGGTTCAGACGGGGAACAAAACTGATGTCCACACACAGAGCAGCAAACATTCGTGACGGTGCGGGGCATTATGGGTTCTCTGTTGTCTGGCGCTTTGGTATCTACCCTCCCTCCCACCTATCGGCGGCTCCGCCTTGGCTGCTGAGTGAAGGTGTGACAGCCATGAAGCCCTGAGTGATGTTGGTGAAGTCGGGCTCAGAGAATATCCGGGGCATCGTGTCCGTCCCTAGCCAGGCCTGAACAACACAACACAACACAACACACCCAGACAGACAGAGGACAACAAGACAGACACATCAGATCAGTCAAATCAGTCAGTCAGTCAGCCACGTGTGTGTGTGGCTGTGCTGTGTATGTCTGTTGTGCGTACGCACCGTGCCCCTGGTGAATATGCCGATTTGGTCCCCCGCTCGCAGGACGGTGTGCAGTATCGACGCACTCACCGCCATCACAAACACCGCCGCATCGTACTGATTCCGCGACAAACCTACACTCACATGCCATGACCCACACACACACATGCCGCGCAGCAGGCACAGACCCAGTGCAATGCCTGTCCTGTGTGCTTTGTTTGGTCTAGTTACCAGAGAGTATTTCGACGGCTGTGTTTGGGTTCCTCACGGCCAGCTCGAAATTGTCGGTCGACACGTCGTAGTCCTCGCGCATCGACACAAACGTGTTCTGAATGCCACGCCCGTACGTGTCATCCTGATGGAACCCAGGCAGGCAACACACGCACAGCACACATTCCTCGGTGCGGATGGCTGGCTGTCAAAAGTCTGTCCTTCCGTTTTGATGGACCGACCGACCGAGTGGATGATGACCAGTTTGGTCCACCTAAATCGCTTTGCCAGGGAGAGAATGGCCCGCACCTGAGAGGCGTCACTCGCCGCAAGACCGAAGAAACTCTCGTGCCTGTAGGTAAGACACACATCACATCACATGCATCCGTCGGTCCGCTCATCAATCCATCCATCCATCCATCCATCCGGTGCAGCGCATCTGTCACAGACCTGAAAATGTCCGGTGCAGTAGCGGATGGCGAGACGAGAGGGATCCTGAAGAATCCCGCCAGTGGGAGCGCCTCGGCCGCCATGGCGCTGCTCATGGGCCCCACGATGATGGACGCACGGGCAGCTATCAGCCGCCGCACCGCCAGCAGCCCAGCCACAGGGTCGTCCGTGTTGTCCTCCACCATCAGCCGCACCGTCCTGTTGCCCAGCAGCGTCTCGTTGGCATTAATGTCGTCCACCGCCAGCTGTATCGCCCGCTGACGGGTGCCGTCGTTGGCCTGGTTGAGCAGGGCGCCCATCAGCAGGACAGATGTGTTGTTGGGTTGCGCTGAGGCGGCCACCACCAGGCCCGCCACCACAGCCAGGCTCACAAAACCTCTCATCCTCATGCACTGCACCGGCAGTCGCAATCGTCGGGCCGGGCGGCAAGAGAGGGAATGCAGACACAGATCGGCTGCACTGCTGACTCGGCGGTGTCGTCAAGATCTCCTCATGCGATGATGCACGTCGCGCTGTTCGTCGTAACCGAGGTGTTGCATATGAGTTCAGAGACAGCCGCCAGGTGGAAATCGTCGACGATCTTCAGCCTTGCACTGGCCACAGCTGAGTCACAGCACCACGCCTGTCTTTAAAAAGAAGAAAGATCGTGGGACGACGGGACGCGTGGGATCTTCGGCTTAGCTCGCAGACGGCGAGCGCGAGGAGGGAACAGGTGGAGAATAGCTGATATTGAACTATGTGGACGCCTGTGGCGGAGATCTTGGTCTTGGTGGCCGTTTGGGTCATATTATTACATGAATGTGCGGCGGCGCGGAAGGCTGAGTACGATGCCGTGATTGTTGGAGGAGGCCTGACTGGGTGAGCACACTCAACTCACTCAGTTGATGGATGCATCTGTCTGTCTGTCTTTCTGCTCCATCCATCTGCCCTCAATCATTCATTCAATGCATGCAGGTTGAGCCTCGCCCATCAGCTCAAAAAGGCCGGTATCGACAAGTTTGTCGTTTGTGAGGGCAGCAGCAGGCTAGGCGGCAATGTTATCTCAAGAAAAATGAGGGGCGGCTTCCTGATTGAACAAGGTACACCAAGTGAGTGCACGCGTGGAACACACACGTGGCACGGCATCCATCTCTTGCTTCCTTCTCGGTATGTTTGCTACTAACCTGTCTGCTTGCTGGTCGGTCAAGGCCCGAATTCTTTCCAGCCGGTCGAGGAGATGCTGGAGGTGGTGAGCGATTTAGATCTGTCGCTGGTGTACAGCAACCCCAAGCTGCCGCGGTTCGTCTACCACGGCGGCAAGATGCACCGGCTGCCGTCAAGTCTCAAGGACTTCCTCAGCCCCTCCTTCACACTCCTCAGTGGTTGGGCCAAGGCTCGTCTGGCCATCGGCATGGTCGGCTTCAGAAAGGGAAAGCCACACACCGATGATGAAAGTGTCAAAGGGTAGGCGCGACGCAGCAAGGAAACACGTACGTACCCTTGTTTGTGTGTATGAGTTGTGTCTGTTCTGCCTGCAGGTGGTTTGAGAGAAATCTCGGCCCTTGTGTGTATGCGAAGATTGTAGAGCCCTTTGTGTCAGGTGGGTTTAAGATGGCACAGCATACTTGTGAGGGACGGCATTACCGCTCGGGGCCAGCACAGCACATATACTATCATTCATGTGTGCAGGCGTGTATGCTGGAGATGCGAGCCGTCTGGCAATGAGATCAGCGTTCCCCAGAATAGCCGGTACACACAAAACCAAGACATCCGGCTGGCTGGCTGGCTCATTCATTATATTTGCTTTCCTGGTCGTGCATCCGTCAATTGCTCAGCTCTTGAGCAGGGACCCGGCACCGCAGGCATCCTCTGGGGCGCTTTGGCGCGTGCACGGCAGCGCAAGAGAGCCAAGAGGGAGTATCAACTGCCGTCGCCACCACCCAGGGGCGCGCTGGCGAGCTTCGAGGGCGGCATTGAGCAGCTGCCCCGCGCCCTGGCCGAGAAGCTGGGCAGGAAGGCGTGTCGGACGGGGTGGCGGTGTGTGGACATTGCCAAGGACAATAAGGGGGGTGATTTCGTCACGACTTTCCGGCTGCCCTTCGGCCGTCGTCGGCGTGTGACGAGCAAGGTTGTGGCGCTCGCTCTTCCAGCACACCGTAAGCCGTGACCCACCCACTGACTGCCGGAACCCATGCGTACGTATCCTTTTGACTGGCTGGGCTGTTTGCTGCCTTTGTCCGTCACGTCAGGTGTGTCCGGTCCCCTCCGGCACCTGGTACCTGAGGCGTCGGAGCTGAGTTCAATCCCGCACCCCTTCGTCGCCACAGTGGCGCTCGCGTACCCGGACGATGCATTTCGCCAGCCCCTGCGCGGCTTCGGCAACCTCATACCGAGGAGCGAGGGCCTGCGGCACCTGGGGTCCATCTACGCCTCGTCGCTCTTCCCCGGAAGAGCGCCCAAGGGATGGCAGATGCTCACGAACTTTGTCGGCGGCAGTCATGACCCGGCAGCCGAGAAGCTTAGCAACAGGGTATGCATGCAGAAATGCTCACATCCATCCATACGCCTGTTGTGCCCTTCCTTCACCTTCAGCAACTATCTCGGGTCGTGGATCGGGAGCTGCGCAAGACAGTGCTTCGTGATGGCTACAGGGGGCGGGGGAGGGTGCTGGGCGTCAAGCGGTGGCCGTCAGCCATACCACAACCGGGCCAAGGACACGAGGACCTGCTGTCTCGTGTGCAGGCCGGTGTCTCACGACATGTGGGCTTGTTTGTCGATGGGTCGTGGTCCTCTGGCATATCTGTCGGTGACCGCATCAAGGCCGGCAAGCTGCTGGCGGCGGATGTGCTGAATGCAGTCATCAGGAAGAGATTCGAGCGACAGTGAGGGCGGTGTGACATTATGACAATGGGAGATGGGAGTTAGTTAAGGACTTTTCTAGTCGATTGATCAATCGTCTTTTGCTGAATGCGAATAGCCGACTGTGGCAGACCGACGAGAGAGAAGGGTGAGACAAGCAACATCCTGGCCGATGGGTATATATGGGGGCCGTGGGGGCTGCATGCATGCATGCAACCATTCTGCGGCATGGCGCTTGTGCACCTGTTTGCCCTCCTCTTTTCCGCGTCACTGGCGGCCGTCCCGGATCCGCCCTCCCATCCCCATCCCCCCTATCGCCTGGTCCGTCTGTCCCTGTACCACACTGCAGTGAGTCACCCGGTGTCTGCACCCCTTGGAATCGATGACCAGCTGAAACTGCATGGCAATAATCAGCCGACAAATGTCAGCGGGACGCACATTGCAAGCAGGGGGGATGAGAGTCCCTCTCACCCTCACCCTGGCCCATCGCAGCCGGTGGCAGAGGAGCCTCCAGCAACCAAGGGCGGCAAGGATCATGCGGGAAAGAGACAAGGAGAGGGCAGAGACGAGGAGGAGGAGGGAGAGGACGTGTGCGAGGGGGACTTGGACCAACGGCCCAAAAACATGACGGTAGGCAGGCATGTGCACGGGGTGGCTCAGTTCGCTTGCAGGCGCTGGATTGCATGAATGCGATGCGGGCTGTGCTGTGTGTCTGTACGTACGTATGTCTGTGGGGTGGGTGTGCTGTGCAGGCGTGTGAATACTACAAGGAGTGTCCCGAGTAAGACGAAAAACAGCATACACACAGAAGCATCCATCCATCCACTCGTGTCTCTGTCTCTCTGTCTGTCTGTCTGTCTGTCTCGGTGCAGGGAGTCGTTGGTGCCGTATGGTCAGCTGCACTACTGCCACACACAGAGCATCCCGCTGTCCCTCGGTGCGGGACTCCTGTGGCTCGTCTACCTCTTCATGGCTGTAGGAGACCTTGCTGATGGTAGACAGACAGACACGTGGAGAGCCGTGGCATACCGAGCACTTCGCTTGGCGCCAAGCGTGCACGGCGAGTGGTGTGGTGTGCAGGGTACAACTCTCCGCTGCTGATCGACGTGTGTGACAGAATGGGTCTGAGCGAGCAGGTCGCTGGTGCCACCTTCCTGGCGTTTGGCAACGCCGCGGGAGACGTCGTGTTGGGACTCAGTGCCAACCTCACTGGCGGCGATGACAACCTGTACCTGTATGTGGGCATGGTTGTGGGCGCAGTCCTGTTCATCACACTGGTGGCCTTGGGCGGCATCATCTTCGCATCTCCCGGCGTCTTCCTCCACCCACGATCACTCATCAAAGATGCAGGGTGAAAGGGGTGGTGGGGGGGGGGACACGTGCCATGCACACACTCGGATGGGACGGAGAGAGACACAAACAAAGCGATCTTGGTACCGTACCCTTCAGCTTCATCTTCGTGGGTATGGGGTTCCTCTTTATGTTTCGGCTGCTGGGGGAGGTGTCCAAGATGTTGGCGATGGTCTACTTGTCACTCTATATCATCTATGTGGTGCTGACGGTCTTCATGCCCGTCCCCGACCCCGAGGCTGCCGAGGGCGGCGATATGGTGGACGAAAAGGCCATATCGGTGACGGTCACGGCCGCGTCAGCAAGAGACTTGTCGGCTGCCCGGCCGACAGTGAGCATATTCGCGCCACACGAAGAGGACGTGAATGGAAAGTCCGGGACGACACTCACCCCGGGGACGCTGGGGCTGCCTCCACCCGCTGCCAAGACCGACATCGGCAGTGAGTGGGGCTCACATCACAGCTCATATAAGACAGACAGCCAAGATAAGATACATACCCATGTCTCTCTCCCCTCCTCTTTATGTCTTTTGCGTGTGTGCTTAATTGTGCGTGTTGAGAGCGCAAGTCGACTGTAGCCGAGACACTGCTGAACCTGAACATGGGCAAGAGGCAGAGCAGGGTCGCATCGGTCATCGCCAGACAGTCGGGGGTAGACGTCCACCGCGCGAGTGTGGCCATGGGGCGTGAGTCGTTCCGCAAGAGTGTCATGGACGGCATGTCTGCCACGGTGCGCCGGTCGACAGTGAAGGCGGCCTTCAGTCTTGAGAACAAGGCGGCCGAGCTGGGCTGGGCAGGTCTGAGCATGCCCGAGAAGATCCAGTTCATCCTGCTGCTGCCCCTGCGACTCCTGTGGAACATTTCCATCCCAGTATGTATGTATGGGTGTATGGGTGTATGTGTATGGGGCAGGTGGGGTGTGGGCGCCCGTCCGTCCTTCCCTCTATATGCTGTCTGTCTCGTGTGTACACGAACCTCCCTGACTTTATGTGTACTCAATGCAAACGGGGGCAACGCAGATTTTGTGTGTCCTTGTTGGTCTTGTCTCTTCAGAATCCGGTGTCTGACCCCAACCCCGCGATCCTGTCGGCCGCCCCAGTGGTCATGGGTGCCCTCATCGCTGCATACACTTTCCGGCTACCAAGCAAGAGAAATCCCGTCAAGGAGTACATTCATTCAAGTACATACATGTCGCTCTCTTGTGTGTCCATTCATTCAACCAGGAATTTGGTGGAGAACCACGGCAAGATGGGCGGCATCGCCATAGCTGCGGTGATCGTCGTTGTGGGCGTGGCTGGGTCCGTCGGGATGCACATCACATACGCCAAAAATGCCGAGGAGTGAGCATGAAATCCCCGAGCCCCATATTTCATGTCATTTCATACGGGTGTCTTGGTTGGTGTGTGTTCAGTCCGCTGCCCAAGTGGGTGGAGGTCTTGTTGGTGGTGTTTGGCCTCATCATGTCCCTATTTTGGATCAAAATCGTGTGCGACGAGATGGGTCGGTCAGCCAGACACACCACACCACGCCACGCCACGCCACTCCTGAATGAATGGATGCATCTGTGCTGATGAATGGATGGGTGGGTGTATATGCAGTTGGGATCTGCAGTCTGATAGCGCAGTTGTTGAGACTAAAACTAGCGATTGTCGGCCTCACCATCCTGGCCGTGGGTGCGTCAGCCATTGAGACACCTCTCTTGTCACTCAGCCTGGCGTACGTGACGCGGATGAGTCGATCCTTGTTTGTTGGTTGGTTTTGTAGGCAACAGCGTCGCTGACTTCATGGCCTGTCTGGCCATCGCAGTAAGCAGATGCTGACCCGCTTAAAAATGAATGGAGCACCTGTGTCTCTCCTTCGTGCTTCAGCGGCGTGGCCGTGCGGCAATGGCACTGTCTGGGATCTTCGGCGGTCCAACATTCAATCTCCTCGTGGGGCTAGGTAGACAGACACCCTGCCACACAACTCACACACACTTGCACGAACTGGTGTCTGTCTGCCTCTCCGTTGGCTGGTGATAGGATTGGTGTTGGTGCTGCGCACAGTGAGGATGGAGGGCGTGCAGGCCTTCGCGATCAGCAGGGCGGGGTTCATCTCCATCATGATGGCAATGACTATCGGACCAGTCACCGTCTTCATGGCCTTCATGGTGAAGAAAAGAGCCACACACACACACACACACACACAGATTCATTATCAGTAGTGCATGCCCGTGGTGTGTGTGTGTGTGTGTGTGTGTTAGGATAAGTTTCGGTTGTATCGAAGGACGGCCATCGTGCTGCTGAGCATGTGAAAACCCCACGAATGAATACGGCCAAAGCACTGGTAGCTGTGTGTATGTGTGTGCGGGGGTGGGGTTTGTGTGCATACAGGTATCTGAGTTGGGTGACTGTGGTGGTACTTCTGTGCATGCTCAACAAGGAGTGAAGCACTCACACACGCACCCCTCCTGCCGAGGCCAGACGCGGAAAGGAGGACGGACGCAATTGAAGGCACTCATGCATTTGTTAGGACGTTTTGTATGTGTGCGACATCAGTTAGAGACGATGGACAACAGGTCGGTGCGACATGTGAGGTGATGTGTGCACTGAGTGTATCGCGTTCATTGAATAAGTAATCCATTGGCTGCGATTCCCCTCGTGTGTCTCCCCCGCCCCATCTCCCCTGATCCCCAGCCCAAATCATACACAACAAGTAGCGAGGGCCAGCCACAGAAGGGAGCCTTTGCCCCTCCCGCGCGGCCACGTCGCACTCACTCACACACACACACACACACCCAGATGCATGCATGTACATGGACACACCTGCTTGCTAGGGCCGTAATGAATGGCAAGGGTTTAGGGTTTAGGGTTTACGGCCAAACCCTAAACCCTAGGGTTTGCCAAACCCTAGGGTTTGGGCCAAACCCTAAACCCTAAACCCTCGACCCTAAACGAACAATCGATCAATGCAGAATAAACCAACCGGCATTGATTGCAATGCCATGCACACACATGCAGACGCATGCACGACAGGCACGTCACGCATACGTAGATACAGACAGACAGACAGACAGACAGACCTACCTGTATTGTCGCGACATGCACAAGTAAGTGACAGACAGACAGACAGACAGACTTACGGACATTCATTCCATGTAGGACACCTAAATACATACCCGTGACTGACTGACTGACAACATGTCCTGTCCGTGTGTACGTCGTGTATGTGTGTGGGTCATGCCACCGACAGCCACTCGTCCAGTTCAGGAGGATCCCCCAACTGAACGCCAGAAGCAGGGGACCTGTCACGGCCACACAACACAGAGAGAGCCATGCATGGGTCGCTCAATGTAGGTAGGTGTATGTCAGACGCTGGTTGCAGTGAGTGCAGCCCCCATACACCTACAATTGGCCGAGAAGTGCGTCGTCGGTCTCCATGCCATACAGCGACGTGCCCTCACTCGCGACGCTGCCCTGGAGACACACACATACGGATGGGTGGAAGGAAGGAACACATACAGTGGTACAGTGCCAATCTCCCTCCCTCCCTCACCAGTCGTTTCGATCCACCAGTAGCAGCAGCAGGACCGTGCACATCCGTGTGCCTCTCCCTCTTCACCCCCACGTTGCCCATGTCGCCGCTCATGCCCGCCTCATCAAACAAATCGCCAAGCAGTGGGCCCGGCTGCAGCAATGGGTCGCCGTCAAACCCATACAGATCGCCATGCGGAGCGGCCGAGAGTGAGGGATGGCAGAGAGGTGGTGGTAAGATGTCCTGTGCGTCATCGGTCGTCAGGTCCAGTGGGTCGCTCAGGCTGTTGGCAAAGGGCAAGGCGCCGGGGAACACGCTCTCGTCAAAGCTGTTGACACGGTCGTACTCCACGCTGCCGATGTCGTGAGTGATTCCCTCGTCTTGCTCTTGCCGGTGGCCACACAGCGATGCGGCTGCTTGTGAGGCGACAAAGTAGCTGTCCTGTGGGAATGATGCGTATCGGGCGACGCCATCGACCCGCCGACCAATGAGTGGGAGCACCCCCTTTGTGTCGAGAGTCGCCGTGCGGACCGACGGCTGGCCGTCGCCCCTCGTGTAAGGCGGGGGCACCGATGGAGCACGCAGACTGGAACCTGAGCGGATTGTCGATCGAGATTCATGGACACAAACAAACCAACGCAGAGAAAAGCCAGCCAGCTGATTCACTCATTCATTCATCAATCCCTAGATTGTACATGCATTGCAATGCTTTGCTCAGCTCACCCCTCCTGCGTCGTTTGATGTCTTGTTCGTCGCTGGCCTCCCCGCTGCCGCTCCCGTCGCTCTCATCGCCACTCCCATCGCTGCCACCGCCACCAAACCCTTCATCCCCATGACCGTGGCCGCCTGACACGCGCGGGGAGAGTGATCGCGACACCCCACCCAAGGTCATGATGGGTGGGGGCGGCTCCAGTGTCAGCGGTGTGGTGGCTGTGCGGCGAGCGGGGCGCCGATCGGACGGAGAGGGGGAGAGGGTGGAGGAGGGGGATAGAGGTGGGGGCTTGCATGAAGGCACAGGGACTGTGAGGGTGTTGGGGCTCTTGGGTGCGCGGACGCGCTTGTAGTGGGCACACTTGACCATACCACGGCTGCGCAGCAACTCCTCGGGGGCTGGTGGGCAGGAGGCAAGAAGGGCAGAAGGAAAGGACACGAGGGGCAGGCGAACAAACGATCTCTTCATCCCTTCATCATGTGTCTGTCGTGGATGTGATTGATGTGTGTCGGGTTTGCTTGCTTACTTCTGCTGGGAGTCCATGTGCGTTTGCGGATGTTGACGAACCAGTCCTGCAGCTGCTTCTTGGTCAGACCTGCGAATGAATCGAAAACACAGACAGACGGACGTCCCACAGACACACCATACATACTTCCCTCGTACAGTACCTGCCCACCCAGCCACCTGTCATCCCGCCCACTCACCCGTTTGTTTCATGAGGCTTTGTTTCTCGTCGTCAGTAGGGTAGGGGTGCTCTTCATGCTCGTCGAACCACTGACGCAACACCGCCGTGGCCGCCCTCGGCAGACGACGAGAGTTTCCCTCATCAACTGCACACACCCAATCCAACCAACAAACAACACACGACAGGCAGGCAGGCAGGCAGGCGAGAAACCCCCATTGATCTTCGCTGTCCATGACATGACAAGTGTGGTGTCTGTCTGTCTGTGCGTGTGTGTGACGTGCCCGCCACCCCCACCCACCATATGTGTCGGCCCGTTTGTTGGTCTTCCATGGATGGAGTGGCGATGCGCATCCCTCTGAGAGGAAGGGCGACACGGGCAGGTAGGGCGAGCTGGGGGGAGCCGGCGACGCCTTGCTGCCGATCCTGTCAGTGCTACCCACCGGGTGGTCCTTGGTGATCTGCACCGTCACGATTGGCCGCCTCTGCGCCAGCTTTGATGACACGCCCTCCCGCGCAGTGGACGACCCACGCTCCGTCTTGCTGCCGGTGCCCCCGGGGCAGCTGGAGGTGGCGACCAGCGGGGAGCCAAAGGGGCTGCCCGACGGTCCGGCAGCAGCAGACAGGCTCGGAAGCGACAGAAACGGCAGTAGCGGCACCTTGTGATGGGGCTTCGGCGGCTGCTGTGCGGTTTCCTGTTCCTCTTGTCCGAGGTTGGGAATGGGCACTGCTGGTGGCGGCGGGGACATGTTTGTGGCACCATTGATGCACAGGGCGGCGAGGGAGGCAGAGACCTGGCCCAACAAACTATCATCTGCACACACACACAGCGGACAGGCACACCAACAACAACGGTACGGTGCAGTCAGGCAGCCTGAGGGCGCGTGCCTGACATACCATATTGGGCCGCATCGGGTGCCCCATCGTTGCCCGTTTGCTCCTGCCGCTGCTGACGCACTCGCTCAATGATATTGACGATAGCTTTTGCTGCCTCCACCGGGCTGGACCGCACCAAGCTGTCGAATTTCGACTGGAAGTCACTCCCGCCCTCCTCCCCCTCCATGCTCCTCCTCTCGCAGGGCAGACTGAGTCAGATCTTTCGCTTGAGGGCTGCTAGCTTAGCTCGCACAAGTTCAGCACTCTGTGAAATGAAGTTCTGGGAGGCAGGCGTGCTGCTTGCCGCCTTGCACAGCGCCGCAGCATTCGTGATCCCATCCTCCAACACACTGCGGCCATCCGGCTCGAGGCGGCGGCCGCTCGAGCGATGGCGAAGATCCACCGGCCTGTCCCCCTCCCCCAGGACCCCCCTTGCAGATGATGCAGCCACAGATGCAGGTGGCGACCCGTCCATGCCCCTCACGTCCCTTGCGGCGACGAAGCGCACAGGGATCTTTGTGCCGCCTGATGTGGCCTCGTACGCCCTGTGCAACATCGAGCACCAGACCACATGGGAGAACACGGAGGAGCCCATCTGGACGATATTCGAGGCGTGGCTGCCCGGCATCAAGCAGGAGGAGATCGACGTTATGTTCATCAAGTATGGGGACGACCCAGGGCCGATGATGGTCATCAACGCGCCAAAGAACAACCTGGTCAAGAAGTGGGAGTATGACAACTTTGTAAGCCGATCACATCACACATGCCGTACGAGTACGGCAGGGAGAGGGCAAATGGCGTGGTGCGGGGCGGGCATGGTGGGTTCTGTGTTTGTGTCTGTGTGTGGTGTGTGTTCTCAGAGCAAAGCACGTCGGAGGATCAACGCTGAGAACAGGGATCGAGTGCAGCGGGCGTACCGATTCCTTCCGTAAGGCATCCATCACATACATCAACACAGCGCGCCATGCCACGCACGCACACCTTCATGCACTCAGCATTCCATTCATTCATTCCTTGTGTGTTCGCTTTGGTTGTTCAGTTGGGTGCAGCTGAGCGAGGCGCAGGTGTCTTATGCGAATGGCCTTCTCCGCGTGTGGGTGCCTTACGACACCGAGGAATACGCGTACGTCCCCCCAGACGACCTCCCGTACTTCCCTGAAATACTGGGTCGGTGGGTGACCATGGACACCAAAGACAGACAACACAACACCATTGGCCGCCATTGCAAAGCTCTCACTCTCACTGTGTGCGTGTGTATATTGCTCATTCATTCAGATGAGCACCCGGCTCCCCCCGCCACGCCCACCCCGAAGCCCATCGACCCCGATCACTACGGTCAATATCATGACCTGATCAAGCCCTACGTCGAGAGAGCGAAGAAGGCAGGGAAGCAGATCATCAGGATCCCGCGCACCGACCTGCCGCCAGAGCTGGTGCACCTGGAGGACAGGGGGGCGCCCGTCTATGAGGGAATGCGGGACAGGGGCACGGGAAAGCTGTGATGATGGATGGGACTGTGGCTGAGTGGGAGGGAGATTGATCGATGACAATGTGTCTGTCGATTGCGATGCATGACAGTACTGACTGATGGCTGGATGGACTTGTGGGCTTTGTTGGTTGGCCTCGATGAGGCGAGGCGGCTGGGTCGTTTCAACTGCATGATGCGTTTGAAAGCTGCGAAGACCATCATGTCACATCATCCAGCGAGATGCCTTCATGGCTTGTCACCTGATTTACGTGCGTCGAGAATCGCGGTTCTTTATGATTTGAGGGTTTAGGGTTTAGGGAAACCCAGTTTCCGCTCCACCTAAGCCACTGAGGGCCAACTTGAAGACGTCAACCGGATCAGCGAGTCCACCGCCCCTCCCACCCGACTCCCCTTCATCAGAACTTAACGGCACCCACCCATCCCACACATCGCCGGGCCCCCAACTGCCCGGTGGCTCACCAACTCGAGAGAAGGAGCCCTCTTCCACCTTCAAGACTAAGAAGACCAACAAAGGCACTGACGTCCAAGCCAAGGAGCGAAAGTCCTCGCCCAGCCTCTTCAAATCAGCAGCCAAGAAGCTGGTCCAATATCAGAACGCCGGCCGTCTCGAGGAATGGAGCTACAAAGAAAAGGAATGGCAGTTCAAGGGGCACACGTCATTCCTGTGCCTCGAGAAGATACCCGAAGATGCCGAAGTCAGCCTACAACAAGCCGGGTCACAATACCGCGGCCCAAAAGAAGAGAAAGAAGAAGGTGACTATTGCTCTTTTTCTCCGGGCCAGTACATTCATTTGCTGCCTACTGCAGACTCGTCAAGCAACCGAAGCAGCAGCCCCCGGTAGACAACTGTGAGTTTGCATCAGATCCACATGCCCGAAGAACATCAAGACTCTCAAGCAGAAAAGGTAAGCAGCGCCAGCCTGGACAGATGAATGTTGCACAATATATGCGTTCTTGCAGTTCGAGGACCAAAAGAAGGAAGAGGTAAAAGGCACCACCTGTCCTGCCTGCAAACCTAGTGATTGCTGTTCTGCGACATGCACTTATCATGGATCGTGGCTTATTCACGTAAGCCCACATACCATCGGAAAAGCACAATGCATTTATACCGGCCGCCCGTCGGTCCTGGGATGTCTGCTGAGCTTACAGGAACTTGACATGAACCAGGCGGAGCTCGAATTCGAAGAGGAGCTGCTTCAGGAAACGGGTGTGTTGCGCCGTCATACTGGTCTCACGTGTGAATGTCGAAATATCAGGTCATGAGCTATCCACTGACCCTAGCGCGTCAAGAAAACCACAACCAACCCGACCGAGCGCCCACCAGTGAGAAGTAGCAGAAGACCGCGAGAGAGGTGACACAAGCCGCAGTACACAAAAAACACGGAACATATTGACCGACGAATCACCCACCCGTCAGCATTGTTTGCTTGCCGTACTCACTTATCTGCCTATCTACGTCAGATCGTCGGCCTAGAAGGAAGAGCTCCAACAACCTGCCACGTGTTCGAGACGAGAGCAAGAGGCGGCCGAGCCGCAACAGACTGCCAAAGAGAGATCGAGACCACAGAGACACAGGTCAATCAAAGGCTGACATCCATATGTACAGGGGCTGGCATGCTCTTCTATGTGCTATGCATGCTGTGCAGGTCGCTTTGATCACCAAGGGCCTTTGGTGCCGCGTGTGTCGACAGGAGGGACTCTCATGTTTCAAGCCGTCACCCACCGGTGGTCGAATTGTGTCTCTGTGCTCTCTCCCCTTTTCAGCCTCTCATCGGTGCCTACATTTTATATATAGAGAGAGACATCGGACCGCATGAGACAGCCGCCGCCAAGAAGACCGCCGCACAGGACAGAACCGATGAGACATATGAGGCCTTTACGTTGTCTCTTTTCAGCCTCTCACCTGCCCACATTTTATCGTGGACAGACATACTATTGTATTACCGCGATCCCGCCAGATTATATCGTGGATGGCTGAGAGCATAGCTGTCAATGGATAGATGTCATGCACGTGTGCACGTGCAAGAATGAGTCAGAGGTGGATTGAAGCTGGTCGTGATTCACACATACATGAAGCAGTGTCTCCTTCGTCTCCCCTTTGCACGTCAACAGGTGCACCCAAGATGAACACGCAAACACACGACAGACCGACTTGTCTGCCTGTCTGCCTGCCTGGGTCACTCAGTGATACTCATGATCAGTGATCGGTCAAGCAAGCCCCAAGCCCCACGAAGTGTGTGTGTGTGTGCGATAGGTGGTGTGTGTGAGACGGAAAGGGCGACAGAAAGATCCCCAAAAGCGACCAACAAGCAAGTGTAAGTGACAAGGAGCAAGTGCACCGATCAGGGGGAGCGCGGCAGGGAAAAACCTGCTGTCCAAAACAATGATGTACTGCACATGCCCCGACTCATGTATGCCGCAAGCACAGCGGCCGAAGCGATAAACACGGGCATGCATGTGGTGTCCCCGGAACAGTGATAAAGAGACGCAGTTCTCAGCCCCAACTGCCCCTACCCCCTCGGAAAAATACGCTGACGCTGGCTTGCCCGCCAACATATAGGCAGCAGGTGGGCAGCTGGCTACGTGAAAACTACTGGCCCTCAACACATGCAAAACATGAACCACACGCACACAGCATAACAAATACGGGCCGGCCGTGTCAATGGGTGGATGTGTGGATGTGTGAGCCCAGTGGAGTGCAGTCTAGCTACCCTGGTGGTATGAACAATCGGTTGGTCGGCCGGATGAAAGGATGGATCATACTTCTGTGCCGATGTCGAGGATCATGGCGCATCCCGCCAGGATCCACTTGCCAGGGGGGGCTCGGGTGCGCAGCTGGGCATTGAACACATAGGTCGCCCCACGCATGGTCGTCTTGTACACAGGACACGTGTACACGTTCTTCTCTGAATCAACAACACATAAAAGGGACAAACGGGTGAATGTTTACACACCTCGATTCGTCTCGCCCAGCCTAGGCGTGTCTCTGATTCTCAGTCCACTATTCTGTCAGTATGCAGTTTGCTGACCTTCCTTGCCGCTCTCCAGCTGAGCCTGGAGAGAGAGAGAGAAAGAGGAAGAGACGCACGAAGATGTACCCATGGCCACGTGTCTGTCCTTGACTTGTGTACAGGTACCTTGCAGTTGATGACGGGCATTGGGAAGAACATCTCCTTCGGCTTCGACTCCTCGAGCTGGTTGTTGGAAACATCCCACCTGGCCCCCTCGAGGAACAGCCCCGCCACATAAGCGCCGTCCCTTGCCGCGGCCTCGATGGACTTGGGGTCCCTCTTGGTGACGTCGGTCAGAATGAGCAGCTTGTTGAGCTCCAGAGACTGCTGCTGGGACGTCACCTGCTTGATGGCCGTCAGGAACGACTGAGGGTTGAACAGCTTCGACAAAAACACAACCTGAGGGAGTGGGGGAGACATCAATCCGTTGACACAATGTCAGAAGGTGCGTGTTTTCCTGAGGATTGGTTGAAGTACCTTAGGGATTGATGTAGGTTCGTTGGTCCACTCGTTGAGCTGCTCTATTCTCTCCTTCAGGTTGGCGAGCCACGAGGCCAGCGGCCGAGTGGAGGGGAACGCCAACTATGGATCAGATGGATATGGGACACACAAGTGCGCATCAAAGATGAAAGGGTGCACGTGTGCAGATACATACCTTTTCCCAGGACTTGGGAACTTTGTCCATGAATAGAGCATCGATGAGGTCCTCCATAGCGTCGCTCATGGTGAGCTCGCCCTTGAGGCCCAGCTGCAGCTCCTGCAGCGAGCGGAGCATCTCCTCCACCAGCAGATTCATATACTGACACTCCTGAAACAACACACAGCACACCAAGAGGAGACCCAGACGTGCGTTTTCAACCTTTCTCTACGTTTCAGCCGACCTGTAGGAAGACATATTGGTATGGCCCCTTCTCTTCGTCCGGTATGGATCTGCCGATGTCCTCCACTTGGAACTTGACGTCCTTGAGATCGTCCACGATTTCATTGCATATCTGTTCCGCCCTCCCCTGCACCGACTGTCCACCCCCCCCTTCCTCGCCCCCGGTGCCGCCCCGTGGCTGCAGTTGCATTAGCATGCCGAAGAGGTCTTGGCACTGCTGAGTGCGGAAGCCGATCTCAGCGTTGGGGTGCAGCCCGTAGGCCAGCGGCGTCTCGCCTGGGATGGACTCAAGGTGCTCCACATACCTATAGGCAGGCAGAGAGGCAGAGGCACAGCGCTCATAGAGTCTGTAGGGTGTGCTGACTGACTTCTCATATCCCGCCGGGAGCGGTGATCTGAATGACACTCCCTTGCCCTCACAGAAGGGGAACATCTCTGACTCGTCCAGCAACTCGTCCTACGAATGCGCACCCATCCCGCTCGCAAGCGGCGTGTCATGTCTCTGCTCGGCGATCATTGTTTGTACCCAGCTTAGCTGACCTACCTGCATGAAGAACTCCAGGTATGAGTTGCAGAGGAGGCGATCTCTGGCGTCGACAATGTGGCCGCCATACATGATCTCCCCGAAGATATACCTTCATAAGCAATTCAGCCGTGTGGGCAGACACAATACGTCACGTGCACAAAATGAACTGAGGGCGCAGACCTGAGATCGTCCCATGGGACCTTGGCTGGCTGTTGCTGCTCCAGGTAGTTGAAGAGTACGGTGGCTGAGTCCCTGAGGTCGCCGATGGAGAAGGGGTAGTTCATATTCCATCCCTTGGGGCCGAACTTCTTCCTCTCCAACATAATGGCGTGGAAGAAGCACAGCCCGAACAAGATCGACTTGACCTTGGAGTCCCTGTCGTCAAAATCCTCCTTGGAGAAGAAAGCGAAGGCACGCTTCAAGTTGGCCTTGAGGCCCTGTGGCGGCTCGTTTGTCAGCTTGATCGACCGCTCCAGGATGCCGATGGGGATGTAGTTGCAGGGGTCCGATGACAGATAGCACCTGAAGTTGGGATGCGAGCCCTCGACAGCGAACGAGTCGAGCTTCTTCTCGAGCTCGATGAGCCACTTGGGCATCAGGTGGATGTTCTGCAGCATTACCCAGTGGCCCTCCTTGTGACCCAAGTGCAGCTTGGCCATTGCAACCACATCCTGACCCTGCCCCATGGCGACGTTGTGGAAGTTGACTCCCGGTGTGATGCCGTAGTTCTTGCGGCCCATCGACTCCACCTCCTTGACGGGGTCGGCACCCGGCGACAAGATGAAGAAGATCGGCGTGGTATCGGTCGAGTCCTTGAACGAGCTCATCAGCACGTCGGCAAACGACGAGCTGGCGTCGCAGTCCATGAAGTCGGCGCCGTTGGGCAGGATGTTGCGGATATAGTCGGCCACGGCGATAGTCATACGGTCCGGCCTCAGGCAGCGCAGCACAAGGAGTTTCTGGAAGGGCTGGTTGTCGAGTTTCTTCCAGTCGAGGGGCAGCTTGACCTCCTCAGGGGTCATCTCGTTGAACCACTCCTTGAATCGATTCGGTGCATCCTTCTCCATGTTGACGGCGAAGCTGTCAAAGCCTGGCAGCTCTATCAGCTTCTGCACGGCGTACCACGCGCTATTGGGCAGCCAGTCGGACAGGGGGTTCTCCACATCGGGCTTCATGGGGCCACGCAGCAGGAACTGGAACTGTTCGGCGTCATAATCGTCGGCCAGCTGGCCCCGCTGCAGCAGGCGGAACGTGAGGAGGGCGTTGAAGATGAGTTTGTGCCTCTCGAAAAGGCCGCGGACGACCCATGTGAAGATGGTCATGCGGATGGAGCCGATAAGCAGCTTGCAGCGTTCGTTGAGGTCCTCTGTCTCTTCGGCCTTCTCGATACCCTGTCGTCTCACAAGGACACACAGACACACACAGAGACAGAGAGAGAGAGACACGCACATACGTATGTGCAGTGAGTTGAGTCCTGTCTCTGTGTTGCCTGCCGGCGGACCTTGTACATGAAGGTGACGAAGGAGTCGAGTGAGTATTGGTACATGGGTGCGATGACCCACATCTGGATGATGAGGAAGTAGAGCATCGAGGCCTCGGCAGCCACGGGACGGTATGTCTCACGCGACTCGTTGATCTTAATCTCCGTTATCTGCGCCTCCTTCACCTGCTCCTGGATCTCTGTGGCCGTCTTCTTGGTGTTCTCCAGACCCTCGATGAGCGCTATGTTGGTCAGGATGGTGGCTGGGTCGGCGGCTGAAAGCTGGGCAAGCAGGTCGTCCTCCAGCTGCGCTAGGGTGACCTTGAACTCGTTCTGCTTCCGCACCAACTCCTGCTTGGACTGCTCCAACTCGGGCTTCTCCACGTTGACCACCATCGCAAGAATCTACATACGCCCCAGTCGGCCAGCCAAGAGACGAAAGAGACTCCTTCCCTTCCAATTTTCCATGTGTCCTCTCTGCCCCGTGTGTGCCCTGCACCTGCTCCTCCAGTCCCTCAGGCGTGACGCAGAAGTTGATGAGCGTGCACTGTGCGGCGATCTCAGGTCTGTAGTGTGGGTTGGCTAGCTTGGTCTGCAGGAGAAGCTGGAACTTGGCATCGTAGTCGACCTCCTCGCCTCCCAGCTTGATAATGAGACCCGAGCGGCCCCTCTTGACCACGGCACGGCTCAGCAGGGGGTCCAGAATGGCGTCGATCTCCTGCTGCACCGCCTCAATCAGCAGCGTGCCGCCCATCTGGATGCACAGCACAACCTTCTGGAACCATCGATCCTGATGGATGAGGAGACACACGCAGACAGCGGGTCCAGAGAATGGCGGGGAGGGATATGCTTGGTAATACATACATGTGTGAGCTGGATGGTGGTGAGGTTGTCGCCGAATCGTTGCTTCAGCCACTTGACGCCCTGCAGCTGAGGATCGATGATCAGCGGCCACCTACACGGACCAACCGATCCCCATGCGTCACATGCTGCCTTCGTCTCCCGGGTGTCCGTGCCTGTACGCACCTGGAGCATGATGTGAGCACGGCGGCATTCTCGATGGAAAGTCTGTCAGCGGGTAGTCCCTCGTTCTTCCACTTGGCTATGTTGGCATCCGTCGTCAGCACAGTGAGGGGATCCACGCCCTTGGTGAAGGGAATCTGCTTCTGCTCAATGTCGGGCAACCAAGTGTTCTGATGCGCATCCAATCACGGCCATGCACAGGAATGAAACAGCCGCATTTCTATCGACCCCATTTCGAAGACTGACCTGCCACAGGTCGACTCTGAATCCGCTCGAGAATGCGCCGATGTATGAGACGAATGCCGCAGCGAGGAGGGAATCGCCGATGAGAGTCACGTTTGCCTCTTTGAGCTGCTCCACACTGGCGCTCCATCGGGTGTTCTCATCGGCAAGGCCGTTGACCAGACGCTCAGCCAGCTGAAGCATCTCAAGGCACGCATTCGCCTGTCAGCCACACATGCACACACAACAATACGGCGCATACACGCACCATGTCGTCTGCAGCTAAGGTTCTGGCTGACTCACCTACTCACCTCTGCCTCGACTTTTTCCTTCTCATCCGTGGCTTCCTGCATCTTAGCGTTGAGCTGGGCCACTCTTTCCTGCACCTCCTTGACACGCGCCTGCACGACGGCGAGTGCCTCCTCGGCCTGGCGCTTGTTCTCGGAGGCCTCGGAGAGTGAGTCCATGAGTGGCTTGACCTTCTTGTAGATGCGGTTGTAGGTGACAATGTTGACGACCCAGTTGGCAAGATTGGCGGCGGCAAAGGACTTCTTGAACATGGTCTCGTAGTTGAAGAAGGGCTGGTCTATGACCGGCTGCACCAACGCCACCGTCTCGTCGGTCATGTTCTCGGCGTCGAAGGCCTTGACCTGGTCCAGGAACTGCCCTGGGTTGTTCATCATCTTCTGCGCAGCCTTCCAGTCCAGATTCTTCTTCTCGCCACGCATAAGCAGCACCGCCTTGGTGACGTCGATACACTCTACCGGCGGCTTGCCCAGTGCCTTGAGCTCCTGGATGGCGGACTTGGTGAGGCAGTCGACGGCCTCTTTTGCCCTCTCCATGGCCGGCATGGCCTCCTTGAGCTCCTCGTCGGCCGCCGCCTGGATCTTGGCCGCTTCGGCAGCCAACGCGTTGGTCTTTGCCTCCTCCTCAGCAGCCATCTTCTGCTCTTCCTCAGCAACAGCAGTGGCTTTTGTCACCTGACACATGCGAGACACGTGGGCGTCTCTCCTGTGTGTGTGCAGGTTGGCCATGCCTCCTCACCTGTGCGATGAGCTGGTCAGCGGCTCCCTTTTTCTCCTCGACTTTGATCATCTTGCCCTTGAGGTCTTCCTGCAGCCCCTCCACCTTTGTCTTGGTGTCCTGCAGTGTGTACAGCCCCTTCTCCAGCCGCTCGATGGACTGCTCCACCTGCGCACGCTTCTCGCTCAGCAGCTTCTTGTAGAACTCAATCAGCTCCAGGAAGGACTTGGGCGTCGTGTAGTTGTAACGCCGCTCTTGCTCAAGGAACTGCTGGTTGGCCTGGTTGATCGACAGATGCACCTCGGACATGTTCTGTGCTATGGTGTCCCTGAGCTCCTCCTGCGGCAGGGGCACGTCCCTGAGGAAGATGGACGCCACGTCGATGAGGGCGTTGCGTGGCCAGGGGTGGAACTGGTCCATGGCGGTGCTAGAGATGAGGGCCGGGAACTTGCGCGCTCGCACACGGAAGGTGTCGCCGACCGGTGAGTGGCAGAGGATGACGTGCAGGTTCCGACGCACACGGTCGATGAAGAAGCTAAAGAGGGCATCGCGCTGGTCCGGCACACCCGCAGCCTTGGCAGCATTCCTGATGGATCCGAGGAGTCCATCATACTCTTCTCTGGTGAACAGGTCGGGAATGTTGCCCGACGAGAGGAAGTCGTTCAGGTAGATGAGGAATCGCTCGTCGGTGATTTGTCCGTCGGTCAGCAGGAAAGAGTGTGGGCTGCCGGGCCGCACCGCCGCCTTCTTGTACATCTCCTGCAGGTCCAACTTGAGGGCGTTCATATCGTACTGCTGGTTCACCAGGATCGTAATGACGTCATAGCCAGAGATGAATGACGCCAACCGCGACAGAGACTGCTTGCCGGAGCCGCCCACACCCACAAGCAGTGCGTTGCCGGCGGGCTGGTCGATGATGCGGCAGATGCGACAGACGTGCTCCATCGCGTCGTCGAAGAGGACCAGATTCATCTCGGCGAAGGTCTCGTTGTATTCTTTGAGCTTGTCCTCGAGCACCGTCTTGAGCTGCGGCATCTCCTTGATGGGGAGATACACCTGACAGACACACCGTGGGCGGGCGTCATCTATTTAAGCACCTATGTTTCTCCCGACTTACCCTGTCGTGTCCGCCATGAGCCGACACGAAGGATGTGAATATGTTTGGCGCCTCGAAGAGCTCATCGGCCTTCTCCTCCGCCATGTGCTTCTTGTTTACCCTGTCACATATGTCGTCCAGCGCCTCCATGTCACTCTCAGACACCAACCTACACACGCGATACAAAGAGGAGCGGCAAAGAGATGCCCACATGTATGTGGATCCTCGGCTGTGTCTGGTTTCATCCATACCTGTCTTTGAAGACCCTGTTCACTTCGTGCAACCACAGCCTGCAGAACTTGAGGCTGCCCTGTGCGCCAGCCTTGTACATGGCGGGGTTGGAGTTGACCACGCCCTGGAATATAGACGAGATGTGCTTCAGGTTGAACTGGTAGTGGAACTTCTTGGTCGTCGGCAAAAAGGCAGGCGTGTTCAATATGCTGTTGAAAAGGTCGATCGTACCAGCCACAAGCTTCTCCTGAGCACACGAATCAACGGATGGATGCGTCCGTCTCACACTCGTTCTTCGTTTGTCCTCACTTGGAGGTTCTGCACGGGTTTGTCAAACGGTGCGAGGTGCTTGCCGAGGATGGAATTGAAGATGCCCTGGATGGTCTCTGCTGTGGCCTGGAAGCACGTCAGGACGGTGAACTGTCTCTGCAGCTGTGGGTTGATGTTGAATGAGCCGGCCTTGGGATTCATGCATGCCACGTACTGCAGGTCGATAATCTCCTTCCTCTCCTCAAGGTGGTCGCGGTCGAAGCAGCTCTGGTAGTCTACCAGCTGCCGCAGCAACGCCAGTGGCGCCTGGGTGTCGTACTTGTCCACCTTGGGCATATTGAAGTCGTCGATGAAGAAGATCATACGCTTGTTGCCCGCCGGGCCGTACGTGCGCCCAGTCCTGAAGACGCACCGCACACACACGATACACCAAATGAACACTCGTGGCGGACTTACCTCTTTTCCAGGAAGCTCTCGATGATGCGTTGCAGGGTGAGCGAGTCAGTGTACGAGTTGAGGTTGATGGTACCGCTGGCCGTCTCCTCAGCCAGCCCTGCCAGGTAGTCCTTAACTATTGTCGTCTTGGCCGTACCGACCGAGCCAACAAAGAGGACGCCCTTCTTCCGCACCACGTGAAGCTCCAACACATGCTGAAACCTGCACACAGAACGCGCCCGAGCAAGGAGACAGTCACGTGCTTTACTGTCGTCAGTCATCAACTGCTGGCCAGTGTGTATACCTGACAAGGTCTACATTCGACACGACTATGTTGCTGAACATGAGGTCAGCGATTGGCTCGTATGGCTTGACGTAGTCGTTCCAGTGCACCCAACAGCCCTGGGCCGTCTCGTATTTGTAGTCGAAACACGAGCCGCCTTCGGGGAACTTGACCTTGGCCACGCTCCGCATCCAGCCGTTGAAGTTGTTCCTGCAGAAAGACAGGAAAGGAAGGAACGGGGATATACCCTTCTGATCAGCATCGATCAAGAATGTCCACCTGAAGTTGACGATCTTATCGTCGGCGACGCAGCCGCCGATGGTCCACATGAGTGCGAATATGAAGTATGCCTCGTAGTGGACCTTCTGGTCATCCCCCGACGCCGTCTTGAGCGCCTCCATGTTCCCCTTGGTGTTGTTGTAGAGCTGCGCGTCGATCAGGCAGCAGATGGACTGCACGAATGCCATGTCCCACATCGGGCACACAAAGTTGAAGTTCCGGCGCAAATACTCAACATACTGAGCACACAAAGATACGTACAGCAAAGGCAGCAAGTGTCTCAGGTCCGTGTCTGTCGCACTCTCTTGGTTTCTCACCTGCTCGAAATAAGACGAGAAGAGGAGATAGAACTGTGACTGGGCCACTTGGTCTGGGAGGGTGTCGCGCCATGACTCGACATATGGCTTCCAGCCGACGTCCGTCTCGTTGATGAAGAGCACACCTCCTCTCGACACGGTGGCAGGACTCGCGTGCTTCATGTTCTCAATCTCGAAGAGCATGCGCATCGAGGCCGTGAAGGGGATACGCTCGTTGGAGACGAGCGTCAACACCTACGGAGCCGAATCACTCATCTCGTCTGTCTGTTGTGCATGTATCATTCACTGTGCAGCTTACATACCTTGTTGTCGTCCATGACGGTGTTCATGGATTCGATCCACTCGGCATCGATGTCGCCGTCGAGAATGATCCACTTGTGCACGATGCTGGCCTTGTATGGCGGCAGCTCCTTGGACATGTTGCGCATGATGACGGCTATGGCTCCGTCCTTCCACTCCTTGGTCTTGGTCATGTACCCGTAGAGCTCGTCCGACTTGATGGCCTTGGGGTTCAGCGGCTCAGTCGCCGAGTCCTCACCCGAAGCCTTGAGCGACTTGGCCAGGGTCTTCCACACACAGGACTTTGAGCTGCCGGGCGGGCCCAACACGAAGCAGCAATGACGCACCTACGCACGCAGAAAGAGAAAGGCGAAATGCAGGGAAAGGACCGTCCCTCTCGCCGGCCGACCTCGACTGACCTCGAGGATTTCCTTGAGCTGTACGCATTTGAGGACGAACGCATCCTCTGGCTGCAGCTTCTGGTCCTTGGTGATTTTGCTGACGATCTTCTCGAACTCGACGTCCCTCTTGGAACCGATGCTCACGCCAGGGAACAAGTCCTCAATCAAACGCAAGAAGATCGGCTTGTCTGAACGACAAGGAGGGAGACACACCACACGGACATCGGTATGTATTGCCTGCCACTTGGGACTCACTGACCTTCTGTGGTGATCTTGGGCACGTTGAAGTCTCTGAGGGCTCTCATCAAGATGGGATCCTCTGCGACATCCGGGTCGGCCCGCTTGAGCCCACCCGCCTGTCGCAGCACGGCCTTGACGGCCCGCAGACCCCAGTCGTAGTGCATCGCCTTGGACAGCAGCTCCTTGGACAGCCCGTACAGGGTCACGAACTTGTGAGCCAGCGACCGGGCGGTGAGGAAACCCTCAGACATGAGCATGTTCTCGCAGATGAACGTCACATCCGGCACCACCATCGCACACGACCTGTCGTCACATCACATCACACGCAACGAAGGCAGATCAGTGAGGCAAGCCGTTGTCTGTCTCCCAGACCTGAAGAGAGCCTTCAGGTTCTCGGGCAGCTCGGTTCTTCCTGCGTATCCAGGGTTCATGGTGATGAAGAAGCCAGTTGTGGGGACCAAGCCAATGTCGTCATCCATGAACTGAAAGCGCTCCTTGCCCTCCTTTATAGCATCCAATATCGACTTGACCTGACAGACAGACAGACAGACAGACATCCTCTCTCTGGTGTGCTTGTTGGCCAACCATGCTTGCCTGCAGTTGTGTGACTCTCACTCACCTGTGTGGAGACGACAGAGAGCACTTCAATCGAGATGCGGTTGAACTCGTCGAAGCATCCCCATGCACCCGACTGCGCCAGGCCCATGAAGATTTGCGCCATGGTGAGGTAGTTCATCTGGTCGGAGCAGTTGAAGACGAACACCGCCAACCCGATGGCGCGCGACAGATCCTTGGTGGTCTCGGTCTTGCCCGTTCCGGCAGGGCCGGCGGGAGCGCCACCCATGACCAAGTTGAGGGCTTGTGTGAGGGTGATGTAGCAGCGGTCGGTCAGGGGCGTGATGACCAGACGGCCACAGTTGCCCACGTACTCGTACATGTAGGTGGTCGTCCAGTCACAAATCTTGATGACACACGTACGCTTCTCCTCACCACCTTTCTGCCAGGCAGTAAGCAAGTGAGAGACACATAGACAGACAGTGATGTGAGGAGGACGGGCGGTGACCTCAGTCTTTGCTTGTGGACACCTGCTGCCAGTAGAACCTGAGCTGGGACTGCCATGCAAAGGAGGAGCCCTCAGTGAGCCTGGTCTGCACGAACTTCTCAATCACATCGCGAGCATGCACATCAATGGTGATCAGCGTGATGATCTTCACCTGCACACAAACAGAATACGCAAAAATGGCATGCCATTCGCTCTGTAGACTGATCGGTAATTTTCTCACGCGCAGTCCCTTTGCGAGGTTGGTCTGGACTCTTCGAATGAGCTTCTCAATTCTGTCATCACACACACGCTTGTAGTCCTACATTCACCGGGAAAGCACACAGACACACACACGCACATGTGGCAGCACACGAATTGGACGCTGAGTTTGCTGTATCGACCTTCATGGCGTTTTCCGAGCCCCCCTCGAGTTCTTCGAAGGCCCTTTGTGTCTCCTCTGTCCACAGCAGCTGACTGGCAACCAGGGCGATCTGCGCGCAGTAGTCCTCGAGCCAAACCTCCCTGCACACAGAGACACGACCACCAGCCATGGCGTCGTTGCCGTAAAGGTCAGTGCAGATGCCTACATACCTAGGTTTGTCGACCTCCCAATTCTCTGCAGCGTTCTTGGCAATCTCGAGGTGGTCACGCAGAGTCCTCCGCATGTGGGCCTCAAGATTGGACAGATACTGCATTGAAAGATGAATCCAACAGCGAGCAAACAGTTCATGCACAATAGATTTCAGCTTCTTCAGTGTCCCCACTGACAGTCTCGACGGCTCCCTCGGCCACAAACGGTTCAAGGAACGGCACGTATTCCTTCTCCTTCGAATAGAGCCCCTTGGATATCTTGCCCTTGGGGTCCTTGTCGAGCTCGAAGTCAAGGGTCGAGATGCCGTCGAAACAATCGCCGAGGAACTCCGCAACCTGAGCACACATGGGTAGGCCATTGCTTGGTGCTGCCTGTCAGGCGTGTGTACTCGCGTGTGCGTACTTTGATGGGGTTGTTTCCATTGGAGAGGATTTCCAGCAGTGCCTGGTTGGACACGAAGTAGAACCGCGGGAAGGCCTTCTTCTTCTGCTCCAAGTAATCTGTGCGCGTAACCCGGACATAGCGTGCACATACGAAAAAGATGCCAAGAAGTGACTGACCGTTGAGAGACTTCTCGCAGAGCTCGATGTTCTCGTGCAGTTTCTTGAGGAGGTCTTCCCGCCCCTCAGCGCAGCACGCCTGCACGACGTTGGGGCTCTGCGAGGCCTCGTTCATCATCTCCTTCCACTCGTTGTCCAGCTGCTCAAAGCGCTTCGAGTCCTCAGGCAGCTGAGAACGGATATCCTCAGACTGCATGAAGATGGGCTCCAAACGCTGCGCAGACAGACACACATATACGGACAGAGAGGGTGTGGGGAGAGGATGGATTTATGTGCTGATATGAGCGTGTGTGGCTTGCCTTCCAGTTCTTCTGGACTTTCATCCAAACGGTGAGGACATTGTCAACTGTCCTCAGGTTGGCCTGCCATTCATCGACGACCGGTCGGCAGAACTCGACGAACTTCCCCTGGGAGACCATGCCCATGAGGTCCATTGAGTGCTGGTCCAGCACTTCTATGATGTCGTCCAGGGGCTCCAACAATCGCACATCCTCGCGGGTCTGCTCAAAGCCGAGCTCCAGCTTGGTCCATGCCGACTTGATCTCACCCAACTTCTTCTCTATCTTCGCCTGCACACGGCAGAGATGCGCGGATTAGCGGCCTTCTGCTGTCATTTCTTCACTTGCGTCTCACCTCCTTTTGAGCCTGGTCGACAATTTCCGAGACGTCGTCGGCGTGTTCGTGGAGCTTGAGTTTAAGGAGGTCGTCGAGGCAGAAGTCGGGCCCCTTGCTGAACGTCTTGCCCGTGACGGTCATAAGCTGCTTCCAGTGTCGCTCGCGCATGAACTCCGAGTGCAGGTCGTTGATCAGAGGCAACACGATCGACATGTTCTTGACGTCCTCCACCAGCCACTAAGCACACAGGCAGCTGGTCATCATAAACCACCCGACGTGTTTTAGTCACGCGATTGATACCTGGTATATTCTCCATCCCTTCAGCTCTTTGGGCAGGTACTTGATCTGGCTGGACAGGTCTTTGACGCGCGTCAGAAGGTCGTCGGTGTCAATCTTGTCCCACAACGTGGACTTCCAGTCGTCAAAGGTGTACTTGACGATCGCAATCGCGTCCCACAGCTCCTGATATGTATACATGCGGCAACAGCAAATGAATGCAGCACACCGACCGACAAGCAGCCTCATGACTTTAACCTTGAGCAGGCCGAGGTCGTTGCATGTCTCCTTGAGCTGCCTGTAGCCCGATCGCGCCATATCAAACAGTGTCTCCAGGTTGTTGAAGTCCTTAGCGCGCTTCTCCATGCCGATCGTCTTGTTGTAGAACTCGTCGATGGACGAGTATCTGACAGACAAGGCAGCAGAAGCATGTCAGCACTGTCGCCTGAGGGTCTCCCTTGGCCTACGCGTCGTCGAAGGCCAGCTCAGGGTTGAAGGGTGCCTGCTTCTCAAACTCAGAACGGAACTCCTAAGAATTACATGCAGCCATGTCCTACTGATAGAATATCGGGTCGATTGCAGCTGCATCCTTACCTCGACTTCAGTGCCGAAGGCCTCCAGTGTCTTCCTGATGTTCCACATCTCCATGGTCTGTAGTGGCAGGATGGCCTCCTTGACCTCAAACGCCCTCCTGATCAACTCCTCCCACTTGGACGGCGCGCTCTCCAGCTGCGCCAGACGGTCGTCAGGCACAGGCGAACCGTGCTTCTTCAACAACACTGTCTGTTGCGGGACACACGAATGAGGCAAATCGACTGATTCCTACATGAGTGCCATTTTTGCGTGCATCACCTGGTCCCTGAGGGGCCCGAAGAGCGCCTTGACAGCTTCGATGGCAATCTTGACATCGCGGATGTGGGTCATGACGGAGTACAGCAGCTCCTTGTCCTCTTGTGCGTCGTTGGGGTCGCGGGCCGACAGACCCGCGCTGGCCTTGTTGATGAAGCCCGTCAAGGCGTCGATCCGTTCGATGCAGAAGCCTTGCAGGAAGGCCACGTACTTGCCAGCCCACCGGCCGGCTAGCTGGCTCAGCTGCACCTTGACGGGCTGTGCGTTGATACGCAGCCAGTGTAGGTCGACGGGCGTCTTCTCGTTGGAGATGCTCTGGCGCATTTGGACGAAGCTGGTGATCTTTTCGTCGAAAGCCGACAGGGGCGGCACCTTGGGGCCCAGGTCGATGCCGATCATGTCCATGACCTGCGTGAACGTCACGCCTGAGCCGCTCTCGTCAACCCAGGTCTCAACCAAATCCTTCGGATCTTCGCACAGGAACAGCTGATGACAAAGAGACAACACACATACGCGGTGAGACATGCCCGTGTTCCATCCGTGCAGCCCAGCCCACCTCGAAAGCCTCGTCAATGTCCTCAGTCCAGAGGAAAGAGTACTGCAGGAATCTCTGTCGATACTCGGCACACTTGAGCTCGGTGTCGTCCAGCAGACGGGAGAGGTTGGACAGCAGCAGCTGAAGATTGAAGTGCTCCTTCATCTCGTTGAGATAATCCCCACTGCCGCTGTCGAGACGGGCCATCAATGTGCCGATGGCGAAGAAATCACGCACCCACGACGACACAATATCACGCATGCCGTTGCCCCTGAACAACGAACGGGTGGATGCCAATAGATAAATCCACGTATAGAATCGATCTCTCTAGAAAAGAGCGCACCTCTCCGTGTGGTCGAATGGCGGCTCGAAGACGATTTTGTTGTCCGTCAGCTCAATCTTGACATCAAACAGGGGCTGCATCTCACTCTTGGCAATCACGGCTGACTCACAGAATTCAGTCACACACGATGATCGCCTGCTTCGTCACGCAAGAGTATTTCGCTGTCCTACCAGGATCGAGAATGTCACAGAGGTACTGCATGGACACGGATATGGCCGACACGAACCCCTCGATGACAATGTTGTTGACGAAGTCGACATATGCCTTCCATTGGGGGGCCCCCTTCTTGACCTGCAGTGCGTCGGCCGAGTCCCTGACCAGCTTGAGCAGCTCCTTGCCCTCCTCCATCACCTGGTGGTGCCGCACGCCAACCGCCGCCTTGTGCACCTGCTCGAAGTCCTCAGGCGACATGGGCTTGGGCTTCCGCTCCAGCAGGGGCTTCTCGCACCAATTCGCCAGGATGCCTGACACCTTCTTGAGATTGTTCTTGAGCGTGTCGACGACGGCCGAGACGTCGTTGACAACGCCCGTGGCCTGGCCGAGGAAGTCGTCGATGTTGGTGGACTTCCACTTCAGGTCGGTCAGGCCTGGCGACAGAGTCGTGTCCATCTTGACGATGCGATCCTCGAGCAACGGCTCCTCCACCGGCAGCAACTCGGTCAAGATCTGCATCGGAACACATTGATGCAGAAAGAGAGGGAGACATGCTATGCGAATGGTTGCTTACCCCGTTGTATTTCTTGATGACGAGATCCAGTGATCCGGTCTGCTTGCGGTAGACACCGGCCTTACCAAAGATCTCGGCAGCCGCCTCAGGTACGGGCAGGCCCAGCAGCAAGAAATAGCGGACCTCACGCAGGAGACGAGTCAGAGCCGGGTCGAAATTGACCTGAAAAGACAGGAGATCGTACCAGTACGCTGGACTAACGTGTACGAGCCTTTCCGTGTGCTTGCTGCTGACCCTGAGGAGGCCAGTCTGTTCGAGTCGTCTGAGCAGTCTCTGTTTGAGTTTGTCCTTTGAGGACTCGACCACCTCGGCCTCCCAGCTGGCAATCTTCTCGGCCTGGTAGTCCTCCAGCATCTTGCGCAGGTTCTTATACAGCTTCTCAACCTCATCAAAATCCTCGGGCATCTCAGATACCTGCACACTCTGAAATACGCAATACACAGACACAGTGTGCTGACGCTACATCGGCCGGTCAAGCCTCATATGTCTCTTTTCTCCTTACTTTGCTGAACACGAGCAGCTTCTGCATTGGCTCTTCGAGTCTCTGCAGCAACGATTGTATCCAGTAGACGGCCCCAGCAACGGGGGGCAGGTTGGAGAAGATGGGTGCGTCGTCGGTGAACCGATCGACAGTGGCCTTCTGCTCGTTGAATATGGCCTGCACTTCCCGCAGCTCCGACTTGAACTGCTGCAGAAGCAGCGAGTGTTTCTTCTCGAGCTCGTCCTGAATGATGGGCCTCTCCAGCAGACCCTCAAACGACTCGAACAGCTTCAGCCGACCCTGGATGGTGTCCGCGTCCTCGAAGCCAGTCGTCAGCACAGAGCCCAGACGACGCTCCAACTCCTTGGTTGTGCACCTTTACGGAATGCACACAGACAGAAGTGGCTGTGCCTGCATGTCTCGGTGGGTGAGTCAGTGCACGTACCTACCGGAATTGGTAGTAGTGGTGCTCGAATTGCTTCATGGAGACGTCCATCATGTCGTAGTCCATCTGCTGAAACACCTCCACACCCTTCTTCAATTCCTCACTGATATTCGCCACGCTCGTCGTCAGCGCCTTGCCCTTGGTGCCCCCAATCTCTATCTTGTCCAATTTGCTGAACTGCACAACGGTCCTGGTGAAGTCCAATATATCACGGACGCGCTCTCTGAATGCGTCCAGTCTAACGAACAGGGCGTTGGTCTGGATGCGCCATCCGTGGCCGTCGTGCTCTGCCTTGTCCTTATACGTGAAGTAACACTCACGAAACGCATTGCACACCTGAATGAATGACAAACAGACGGAGAGGCAAATGGGAGACGTATCGTATTCTGAGACCTCCGGTCGTCACGTGTACCTGCAATGTCTTATCGAGCTTGTCAACGGCGTCGTTTGCCTCCTCATTCTGTATCATGGAAAAGACTTGTGGGCCGTTGATGAAGCGGCACGCCTGGGCAATGATTGTGTTGCACAGCTCCCGCACGAGCACCACCAGACGAGCGGCCGTGTTGTAGAACTTGGAGTGCTTCCATGTGAGGAGTAGGAGGTGCATGATGGGCTCGAACAGCTTGGGCAGCTCCGTGAACTCTGCCGTGTCTTCCATGAGGTTCTGTATCCACGGCTCCAGCGTGTTGAGGAACTTGACATTGTCGTTGGCCTCCTCGCGTGCATCTTCAACCTCCTTGTGCAGCTTGGCAAACGGATTTGTGTACGTGCTCTTGCTCTGCTCCAGAAACTTCAACACCTGCAAAACACACACAGATCATGCCAATCTTGCCCATTCTTATCTCGCATCTTCACGTGTGGGTGCAGTGCATCCGACTGACCTTTTTGAGCCCCTCTGTCTCGAGCTGCTGGTGGATGGAGTTGAGGTTGGCAGCCTTGGCCCGCCAGAAGCGGATCTCGACAATCGGTTCAGGGTTGAGGCCCTGCTTGAGTGGCGTCTCAGGGTCCTGCTTCAGCACATATCGGATCTGCTTGGTCCACATGACTACGGCGCCCTCCAAAATGTGCACACGATCCTTGTGCAGCTTGTCAGCTGCCTCGGCCGCCTTCTCGGCAACAGCCTGCGCCTCCTTCTCTGACCAAATCGAATGTGTCGGCAGGGCAGACAGACAGACAGACAGACCCCTTTCATCTTTTCCCCCTAGCATGGCATGGCAGCGAGGCATGTCAGTGTGAGTGATTACCCACCCACCCACCTGTTGGCGGCAGCGGGAGGAGTGTTTTGCCCTTGATGAGGCCCGTAGTGACATAGAGATTAGCGAGGAACACATGAAACTTGTCCAGCAGATCCTTGGAGACCAAATCTGACCAGCCTCGCTGAACACACCGACAAACAAACAAACAGACACGCGCCCATCCACGAAGCAAAACGCCGCGCGCGTCAGAAGATACACTCACTCACTCATTCACTGACCTGGTTGAGAGGGTTTGACAGCGCGGTGAGGTATGCCGAATGACAGATATTGTTGAGGATGTCCATCACATTGCGGGCCACCTCAGTGCATATGACGCTGCTGTTCATGTTGTCCTGCACAACACGCACACATGCCTTCACTGATGCTCCCGCTTTGTGTGTCATCCATCCATCCGTTTTCAATGATTGCCTTTGTGAGGTTGACTTCTTTCTCGCTCCGCGACATGACCAGGATTTTCTTCTTGATGGATGCGAGGGGCGGAAGCTCCCGGCATGTCGCCGTCACCGCCTCGCCTGATGCAGGCATAAAACTGATGTATGCAGCCTCGGGGTCATTCAGGAAGCTGTTCAGTGCGCGACTGAACAAGTGTACCGACACCGACAGATGGACAGAGAGATCAATGAATGAACAGCGGCCGTTGTGCGCTTTGTGTGGCTTACGAGTTGGCTTCGTCGGCTTCGAATCCCTTTTTGAATTTGTCCCAGTTTGCTTTCTTGAATCCGAACGCGGCCTGCACTCGCCTCAAGACCCAGTCCACCCGCAGATCAGCCTCCTTCTTCTTGTCGCCGTCGTCACCCATTATAATGGCTGATGACTATGGGGCTCTGGTGACAATGGCGTGATCACACAAGCAGCGGCCTTCAACCGAGGGCAGCAGACGAACAGCAGGAGATGTGTGTTGGCAAAAAAGAAGTAAACCACGCTGATGGCGCCTGATGAGTCAGAAGCTCTCCCTGCAATGACAGCACTCGCTCTTGCCACTGACTGATGGACTCTCGTCTTTCCTCAAAAAGACTGCTGGCGAGCTCGTATCCGGCCCCCACAGCGCGCAAAAAATCGTCAACCGCTTGTGTACGGTGCCTGTCTTCCCTCGCTGCTTCTCCCCTCCCCCTCTTGTGCTGCGTACGTGCATGATTGTCTGTAGTTATGGCCTCGTTGCGATCAAGTGGCGAAGGCCGCGTCCTGTGGATAAACTCACAAGGCCCTGTACGGGAGGTGCGCGAGGGCATCAACCTCACACCAGGTGACAGACAGAGGACAGAAAGACAGACGCTGAATACTGACTGTATGCTTGGCTGACTGTCACCCTGTATGTGTCCAGGGAGTTACTTCACACGGCTTTTCCTTCCTGGTGTGACGTTTGCTTGTGCCGGCGTTGGTCTGTTGCTGACGTTGTTGGTATGTCATCTGCACGGAGGCTCACGCCTAGCCGTTCTGGCATTCCTGGGTAAGTAAGGTCAGCCAGATGGAGCGATATCAGTCTTCCACAAGTGACAGCTCCATTTTGTCGATTTGCCTGCATGCAGGGAGCGGCTTCGGCGTGGTGCTGGTGTCCACGGATTTTGGGTTCACGATGGCGTTCCGCAGCTTGATAGCGGACAAGAGGAGCCGACAGTTCCAGCTGGTGCTGCTGCTCGCCGGCATGACATGCCTGGTGAGCGGTCCGGTGCTGGCCCTCTCCCCGTCCGTCTATCGCCCCCATGAGGCAGCCGTCGGCCTCTCCGTGCTTGGCGGCAGCTTCCTGTTCGGTCTGGGAATGCAGCTGGGTGACGCGTGCGGATCGGGCACTTTTCACAGGCTGGCCCTGCTCCAATGGAGGGGCCTGGTGCTGCTGCCCACATTCATGCTCGGCTCTGTACTGGGGACGTCCCAGTGGCACATGTGGGCGCAACTGCCCTGGTACCCCCCCGTCATTCTATACGAGGAGCTCCCCGTCGGCGTGGCCATGGCCCTGCAGCTGGGACTCATCGCCGCACTCATCTGCCTGGTCCGGTGCGTCGAGTGGGCGGCCCACGGGGACATGCAGCCCCTCATTGTCATGGGCGCTCCAGCTGGGGTGGCGAGTGAAACCGAAGCCAGTCGCCTGCCCCTCGTGTGGACCCGTTGGCTGGGTCTTGATTGGCGGCGGCGGCACTACGAGAAGCTCGAGATGACCCCCATGCATGACGGCGATCCCGAGGAGCCCTTCTCGCCATTTCCCATTACTCCCCTCGACCCTCTTCGCCACCACATGATGGGGACAGCTGCCGGGGACACCCCACCATTCTTCCCCAACCAGTCACCGACACATCACCTAGACTTCCATCTCGGCGCGCTGACCAACCCCACCCGGATGAGGTCAGCTTCCGACGGCCTCCAGCAGCACAAGGCCGTCAGCGTGAGAAAGAAGCGCCGTGGCGTGACGCCTCGGTCCAGAGGCAGGAGGTGGCCCACCAGCAAGGTTGTGAGGCGGCTCTCGTCCCATCGGCGGAGGAGGACTCATCATCCGCATCATGCGATGGGCACCGTGACGCAGCATGAAGGCAATGCAGGGGGGCCATCGGCCTCGTCCACGGTGCCTGGGACGCACTCGGCCCCGTGCATTGGCCGGCAGCCGGCGGTCCTGCCCCCAGATCCCCACAGTGACCCAGCGAGGCAGCGTGAGAGAGACGAGAAGACAAGGAGACCGAACGAGGCATATGAGCTTCGGTTAGTGACGAATGGGGCCAGTGGTCATTCCCCATCACACCTGTCCCCGTCGCCCGACGACTCGCCTTCCTGGATGCGAGAGGCGTGCTACCAGGCAGCCGTGGCAGGCAGCCCCCTCCTCCCGCCCGTCAGCGTGAGAGTCGATCCAAGCTGGACATCATCTCGCGGCGAGAGTTCGGCTGAGAGCCGCTTCCTGCCCCCTTTGCCCCTCCCTGCCGTGGCGGCCCGCTCGCCACCGCCCGTGGGAGTATCTGATGAGGAGAGGGCGACTGTGAGGTCCATGTGGCTCGCGGTGTGTCTGCTGGCAGCCCTGAATGTCGCGACGCTCATGGCTGGAGGCAAGCTGTGGGGAGTGAGCACAGGCATCACCGTGTGGGGCGCCAAGCTGTACACGGCCTTGTTTGACCTGCCGGGAGTGGTGCCGTTAGCGCAATGGCGGTATTGGCAGAGAGCCGATGCGCAAAGTGTAAGCGAAGCGCTCACCGAACAGACAGACAGACAGACAGACATCACACGACCAACCGGCGCGCATTGCATTGTGTCGGTCCGTGGCACGTGTGCTGTGTGCAGTTGCTCGAGGCCCCGTTGCTGGGTTCCATTCCCTCGTCAATGGACGCGGGCCTCGTGCTTGGCGCCCTCCTGTGCGCATGCATGCTCGGCAGAATCGACTGCACACGACCACCGCCCGTTCCTCTCCCACTTAGGTCATGGTCCCGGCAAATCCGCCAGCGGCGTCAGAGCATGTCGTCGACGCGGTCGACGAGCAGCGGCTCGCAGCGGGGCAGCAGCAGCCGGTCATCCAGCCAGGGCAGCCCCCAATCGGGCAGCCCCGTCAGCTGGCCCACGGCTGCTGCTGCTGCTGCCAATGGCGGAGGGGAAGGGCTCCATACAGATACACACGAGGGGGAGGGGAAGAGCCTGGGAGAGGTGGTTGAGGTGCCGTTCGATGTGGCGTATGAGCAGACGATCAATCTGCACACGCTGGTCGGTGCCTGCATGGGCGGCATACTCATGGGATACGGTGCACGACTCGCGGGCGGATGCAACATTGGCGGGTACGTCACCCAGTGCTGGGCAGGAGGGCATCGGCACTCACTCTGTGTCTCTGTGTGTGTGTGTGTGTGTGGTTCATGGTAGGTTCTTGGGTGGTGTGTGTTCATACTCGCTTCATGGGTGGGTGTGGCTGCTGGGCGCGATGGCCGGCAATGTGCTGGGAGTCCACGCAAGACCGTGCTTCATCTAATGGATGAACATGAACACACGGACCTGACTGACCGACCGACCGACCCATGGCTGGATGCCCTTGCGCACATGCACACCTCCATGATAGATGCGAGACGAGAATGCCGCTGTTTGCGGCGGGCGCCACTGTTTGTTTTTTTTTCCAACATGTGTCTTAGAGGGGCGCGGGGCGGGGAGAGGGGGCGGTGGTGTAAAGAAAGGTGCTTTCCGTGACTGAATGAATGCATGTAGACAGTGCATACGAGACATTGGGGTGTAATAGGGTGTATTGGTGTGGGCGGCTGTGCTGGGGCTGGGGCTGGGTGGATCGATGGCCATGTAGATCCGTGGATGGGCTGGCGACTAGGGCGTGTATGTACTGCACGAGAGAAGGGGATGAGTACCTGGCTGATCCATGATATGATCCACACTATGAACCATATCGCCAGTCGGAAAATACATACATTGACTGTATGTATCACCGGGAAAGTCCATCTGTCCGTCCGTCCTTTGATACATCCATCCCCCGTACCATATGAGTCAGTCCGTCCTCTCTACACCACACCACACCCTCCCAGCCACCCACCCCCCCATCCATCCATCCATCCATATCTGTCTGCGCGTACGCATATCGTGTCACCGATGGATCCGCCGTGTCTGTCTGTTACTCACCCGTACGTATTATGCTCAGCGCAGCGCACCACCGACGTGTCGTCGGTGGTGACGCTCGTCAGCCTGTCGGTGGCCGTCACGTTGCGTATGAGCACCCTCCCATCAATCGTCGCCATAGGGGGCACACGAGGGGCCATGTTGGCATGTCCACCACCGTGACCACGGCTGACGATGGACATGACATGGGAAAGGCGTTTCGTGTGTGAGTATGTGAGTCAGTTAGCTTTCTGTCTCCGTTCGTACAAGGGCATGGGTGGTCGATGCTTCGTATGGGGTGGCCCGCGAGAGTGACGATAAGGACAGCTTAGCTGCACACACGGATATCCACACACACACACGCCCCCTCATGTGTGTGTCCTTCAAGCGCCCACATTATATATGCCACATACCTCTTTCTGTGTCAAGTCGTCGTCCGATTCCTCCCCGGATCCCTCCCCACTGCTGCTGTCACTGCTGCTGCTGCTGCTCGAGTCGGCACTGCTGCTGTTGATGACCTGCTCAAACACCTCTGACGCACGGACACCCTGACCAGGCAAGCCACCACGCAGATCGGCCATCGCATCCAACACAGACATCGAGGAACCCCCAGCGGCTGGGAGGGGGTGGAGGGAAGGGGGGAAAGAGACATCGGGCATGGCCACGTAGCCCGTAGATGCACTACCACCACCAGCAGCAGCAGCGGCTTCTGGGCCGCCCTGCCTCTGCCTCTTGATTTCTTCGAAGTTGGCCGGGAGACGGCCGACGAAGTGGTCCGCTTCGAACACCGCCGCTGCATCGGGGACATCGGCCTCATGATGCGTGTGTCTCCCCGCCACCCTGTCCCTCCCCCTCTCTCTGGTGGCCCTCCTCCCGCCCCTTTGTGCCCTCTGCTTCTCCCGGATCAACCGATCTCGCAGCCGCGCCATTGAGGCCTCGCGCAGGGCCTGCAGCGCTATGGCACGGTTCCGCGGAGGGACGGGGGGGAAGGGCCGGCCCACATATGGGCTGCGGGACGACGAGCTGTCGGCTATGAGGTTGTGGAAGCGGCTCACGTACATCCGACCGGTGCGGGCGTCGCGCACCACGAAGGGCGGGATGGTGTCATCCTCTGCGTCGTCGACCATGTGGGTGTGGGTGTGCATGTGTGGAGGCGCCTCATCGATGAACCCCAGGCCCCCATCAAGCGGCGGGGGAAGGAAGAAGGCCGAAAATCCCTGGCCCATGAGCTCATCCACCGACTCATCTCCCCCCTTGCCCCCCGACTGCGGCTCGCTGTCCGCCTCCACCCGCCTCTTGCGATAGCTGCGCGCCGCCTGCCGCACACTGCGCCTTGGGGCTGTGCAGGGTGCTGCGGGGGGTGGTTGTGGGTGGGGTCTCTCGTCTTTGCTCTGTCGTCGCTTCGTGGGGGTGGGTTGATCGTCGCACACCAACGCACGACGTGCGGGCTTGGCCTTGCGAGAGGGGCTGCGTGTGCGAGGGAGAGGGAGAGGGCTGTCGGACGTGGTGGCCTTCTTGCGGGCAGACCGCACTCCCTGACATAGCAACGGAATGGAACGGAATTACAGTGGCATTTTCTCCTGATGTCTCTTCCCATTTCACTCGTTATTGCCTACTTGTTTCACCGCTGCCCGCCGCTTGACGGCCTTTTGCTTCGGTTTTGGTTCGGTGGCCTTGTTGTCAGCCAGTAGGGCGTCGGCGGTGTGGCCGGCGGGGGGCAGACCCTCTGATGTGGACACGTTGCGCACCACTGATGGAGACGGGTCATTCCCCCCTGCTGATGCCGCCTTGTCGGGCATTGGCTCGTCGCCCCCAACCTGCAAACGATCAAGCAATCCAGTACAATTCGATTTATAAGCTTAATGGGATGATGGATGCATTTGGGATGTAATATGTACCTCCCCTGTATCCTCCTGCGGCTCCTCCTTTCGCCCGTCGACTGATATCACCGCAACAGGCCCCTCTCCAATACAACCACTCTCACGCACACCCTCAGCCCCTCCCTCTCCCTCCCTGCCCCCCTTCTTGGTGCCGACAGGACCCTCACTCGGCTGCCCTCCTGCTGCTAACGGTGCATTCGGGAGGGCCCCACCCGCCAGTTCATCCGCGGCTTCGTTGTCACCACCGTGCATCTCGCTCGGTGGCTGCTGCTGCTGCTGCTGGTGCTGGTGGTCGTGATCTTTGCGCTTCCTCTTTTTGCGTTTGGGCGGCAGGTTGTCCATCGAGAGCCTGTCCAGCGAGATGATCCGCACACTGGGGTTGCGCCTGTGGCACTCCCGCAGGACCAGCTGCCGATCGTCATCGTTGAGCTCGAGGGGCCGCGACGTGCGAAGGGCCACCTTGCCCGCTAAAATAGACTCCAAACCTGCACCAACCAAATGGCCCGGCCAATAAATATAGGTAAGCTGAAACACCAGTGCAGTGCACACACACTGGCAAGGCGAAGTGGGGCCTACGTGAGAAGAGGTCAGCTTTTGAGATACGATAGTGCGGACAGAGCGATTCGATGGCGTCGTAGAGTTTGCCGCCATCGAGCACACGGGCCGTCCAAAGCGCTGCCAGCAGCAGGGCCTCCTCGCTCTCCCGCCAGGCATCGGGCGGCCTGGATGGGGGTGGGGGAGCATCAACCGGCGCACTCATTTGACTACATGTAAAGCGGTCCTCACCCCCGCCCCCATCCCTCCCCAGCAGACGTCTTTGTGCGCGGGAAAACAACGACGAGAAAACGATCGCTCCCCCAGATTAGCTCGCACGGGGGACTCGGAGAAAAAAGGGCAACGTTTGAGGCCTGAATTCCCGCAGCAGCATACTGCCGTTGTCCCGTGATCGTTTGCGCCTTGAGATCTAGCTCTTGAATCGTTCGTCCCTTGGTTGACCAGGCCCTGCTGCAATCAATGCAGTGGATCAAGGGGGTGCTGGGCATTCGTAGCCCGACAGTGTCAGCGACAAAGGGCACATACGGTCAGCGCACGCAAAGCAAAACAGCCGGCCACTTCAAGATCTGCCTTTCACAGTGAGTGCTGCGATGTGTGCGATGATGTGTGATGTGCAGGTGCTGATGGCCCCCGTCCAGGGTCTTCGTCGACGCCCTATGAGGTGACGCGGCGGGGCGGCAGCAGCGACGATGACCCCGAGGATGAGACCTTCATCGGTAGGGTAGCTAGACATACAGAGGGAGGATGCTCTCAGAGAGAGAGAGATAGAGAGAGAGAGATGGGCTCCCTCATAGCACACACAGGCGCTGACTGACTGCTGTGATGCTTGCACACGTGTGCAGATCCCGTAGACTATGACCCTGACACAGTGCCGGCAGAGCAGGAACTCAGAATGAGGTACATACAAAGATGCAGCCAGCTATCGCGATGCGTGGGTGGGTGGGCACCAGTGTGGGTGGGCAATAGCCGTGGGTGGTGTGCTGATTGGTGTGTTTGCAGGAATCGTATCTTGGGTCACTTCAAGCAGTATCGGCATCAGGCCGAGCATGAGCTCACCTTGAACGAAGTCACCAGGGCACTCATGGTGAGTGAGAGGGGGACGGAGCAAAGACACACACTCACCACCGGCCGCTCGGGAGACCGAGCGGTGTGGTCGGTGCGCGTGCATGTGTATGTGCATGTGTGTGTGTATGTGCATGTGTGTGTGTATGTGCATGTGTGTGTGTCAGGGTGTGCAGCGTGGTTACGACATCCGCATTGTGGACGACGTCTTTCGCCGCGCCGACATCGCCAACCTCAGGGCTGTCAGAGTGTAAGCAAGCATAGCCAACACGCAGGGGTGTGTGTGTCGCTTAGACATCTGTTTATCCGTCCTCGCTGTCTGTGTCAATCAAAACATAATAACTATGGGTGGGTGTTGGTTGTGTTGGATTGCTCAGCGACGTGTTCATCGACCGATACATCGAGAAGGTCCGCAATATATATAGACGGCACGGCACACGCAACGCACGGACAGGCGTATGTATGTATGTTTCCATGTGGTGTATGTGTGCATGTTGGTTGATATATGTAGTTGAAGGAGATGAAGGCCTGGTGGGAGGTGGCCCGCAACGCTTGCATCAACACGCAGCGCATGTTCGACGACAACGAAGCCAAAATGACCAGACACCAGGCCGAACACTACAACGAATACGGGGTGAGTGAGTAACCGAGCCGGTGGCCGATGGACCAATGGCTGGCTGGGGGGCTGGGGACACACGCAGGGCAGGGCAGCCCACCACTGTATGTGTGTGTATGTGTGTGTGTGTGGACAGATATCGGATGACAGTCGTCTGACGGTTGAGTTGCTGGAGGCGCAGAACATCCCCATGTACAAGGTGCCCCGGGTGCTCCCGCCCGCACCACCCGCGCCACCAATGCCTGGATACCCACGTACGATACCAACACCACACACAAACGAACTGCGTGCCCTGCCGTCAACTCACTCCTGCATTTCTACCACTCACTCTGTGCGTTGTGTGCAGCGGTGCCACCTCCCGAGCCTCGTGCGCCTCTGTTGTGGTTTTACATGAATTGTGCGCACCAGCACGTGACCTGCGAGGCCCTGCAGCCGGCACCACACATCATCATCGACGAGACCTTCACTTTGTGAGTGAGGAGGAAGACTTTGCCGGGAGAAGATGGGGAGGGGAGGGGTGTACTGTATGGGTGTTCTTCTTGTTGGTTTGTGTCGATGGATGGATGGATGGATGGATGGGTTCAGCGACATAAGTCAGCCTGAGGAGGTGTTGGTGTGCACCCTTGTGTGTGGCGACCCGGCCATCCCATCTGAGTAAGTCGCTACCACCACCATCTGTCTGATGCGCGTGTTTGTGTGTGCTCCAGCTCCGAGTCCATCGGCGAGTGCCAGATCGACCTCAAAGACATACAGGGTAAATAACCCAACCAAGCGGCCAACCACCACACACAGTCACGTACGTCATGTGCAGACCAGCGCAAGGTCGAGATGCGGTGCGACCTGGGCGACGGCGCCACACTGCAGCTCGCCGTGCAGTGGATATGGAGCAAGGTCAGCCAGCCCTTCAGCCGTCCGTTACATGCATCAATCAGATCCACTGTGTAGTGTATGTGGTGGTTGTGTTGTGGTGTTCTCAGGCCCGTTTGTATGAGAACTATCGTATGGTCTTTGGCGAGAAGCTCATGCGCAGGAAGGCTGAGCTGGAGACCGCTGAACGAAACCTATACGCCGGACTGAGTATGCAGTCAACCTGGGAGGGACAGGAAACCCGACACACACCGGCTGATCTGCCTGCCTGTCTGTCTGTCTGTCTGTGTATCTGTGTGTAGCTCCTGTTGACGACCCTGTGAGCAACCCAGCGTCATATGCCGTGTCGAGGGGCATCGATGTGGTGAGGAAATGAGCAGGGGGGGGAGGGAGCTAGACACACGTCAGTCGGGCCAGGTCGCATATGTTGTGTGAGTGCAGGCGATGGGATGGATGAAGCTCCACGATGCACAGGTAGGTGGGTGTACAGAGACAGACGACTCACGTAAGACAGACAAGTGAGCGAATATCTGTGTGCGTGCCGTGCCGTCTGCAGCGGCTGTCTCGGTGGTTTGTGGTCATCTACATGCTGCTGTCGGCACTCGCCGCATTCGCCAAGTGAGTGAGGAACCAGCCAGCCAGAAAGCCAGCGTGGGACTGACGTATTGATGCGTGCCTGCCTGCGTGTGCGAACTTACACTACTTACTGCAGGCCTGACTTCCTGAACCTGCTTGTGGCTGCATTTTCCTTCTACAATAACCTCTGTACCCCCCTCCCCCCTTCCCCCCCCGCGGCACACACACACCGTCACACTCACGCTCACACACAGGCATGGTCGGTGTGCATTGCGTGTTCAGCTCCGGAGCGCTGGACGCCTGCGTCATACACGTACATGCTGCAGGCCATCGCATTGTAAGCCCTTGGGGGTGTGGGTGTGGGGACGGGTGGGATCAAGGGACCGACCGTCATGGGTGTGTGTACGCTGTCTGTCTGTCTGTCTGTCCAGTTCGTACTTCATGGACATCATGTGGGCGTGGACCTACTTCGCAGCATGGGGACTCAGTGAGCCATACACACACAAAGGCGCACACGGATGGATGGATGGCACGCTGATGGGGTGTGTGTGTGTGTGTCAGATGGCGATGTTGTGTTCCACAGCATCGCCAAGGTCATGACGGTGATGCAGTTCATCTTCAAAATCATCCTATTCGTTTTCTTCTGGAAATGCAAATTCGACCTCCGAGAGCTGGTCAGTCAGTCGCCAAGCAACACCCTCCGTATGTGTGTGTGACCCTGTCCCCCTCTCCCTCTCCCTCTCCCTCTCTCTCTCTGTGCGTGTGTGTGCAGCAACTGAGGCAACAGAAGCGAATGGAGGTCCGCGGGGTAAGCCTGCAACTCGGTCGATCAGCCAGTGTCGTTATCTATGGTGTCACGCCTGTCTGTCTGTCTGTCTGTGCGCAGGGTCAGACAGAGCCGTTTGATCTGCGCCGCGCCCATCGCATGGCCGAAGAAGGCCCCAAGCAGTCGACCAGCCCGTTCAAGTACATCAGACAGACAGACAGACAGGCAGGCGGGGGACAGCAAGATGAACGTTGTGCTGTGTCGTCAGGTTCCTGGGCTTCTAACGTGCCAGCCAGTCGTCAGTCCATGTATTTATTATGCACATGAGTCAATTGGGCTCCCTCCGGCCATGTCTTATATACAGACAGACAGATACCCTCGGCTGTGTTTGATGGCATCGCTCCCTCCCCTCCGCCCGGCCATCGGTGCTCAATCAACGAATCCCCTGCACAGCCGGCTGTCGGCCGGCGTCTGGTCGACTGTGGGCGCGCAATGAATGTCAGTCAGTCCGGAGAGGGCGAGGGAGAGGGACAGAGAGGGGGAATCGATGCCCCCTGGTTTTGTGTATTTTCGTGTGTATCACTCTACGTCAGTGTTCCGATCGACGACCGACCGACGAGGCGTCGGCTGGTTGGCATTTATATACGTGTTAACGTTGTGTTGTAATGTGTTGTGTGTGGAGTGTGAGGGTCGCTCGAGATTCCAATATCGTCTAGATCTGTTGATAGGCGATGGATGGATGGATGGATGGATGCGTGGACGGACAGCGGCTGCACGCATTAGGGTGGCTGGATGTCCTTCTGTCACAGAGAGAAAGATCAAGATGAATGATATGATTCGTGTGTCGTACGTCCAATTGTCAAACCCCACATCATAAGCCACACTGAATTGACACGCGTCAACGGAAAATGCCGGTACTCAATGTGCGCTGCGAGACGCGGGAGGAGGCCAGCCCCTTGTAAATTGGCGCATCCCATGCAGTCGTTGCTTCTTGTGGCTCTGCTGTTGGCCCTCGTCGCTCTCTGCAATGGCTACGACATCAATTTGTAATCAAAGGACGGTCAGTCAGTCGACGATGGCGCCATGGCGTCACTTGTCGCCGAGACGAGGGCCCTCAGCGCCTCTCGCACCGTCTCCAGGAGGCGCTTGCGACGACAGGTGAAGGCAGCCCCCTGGGGATCATGCCCTATCATAATGTCTTTGCATCCGTCGGTGTGTGGGCTTGTTTGCAGCTGCGTTCTTGGAGCTGGACCGGAGGGAATACAGCTCTGCCGTCGAACACATCACTGCAGGCATGACATGAAGTTCAACGTACACACGCCATTCCACGTGGGTCATTCATTCGCGTCACATGCATGCAGGTGTCGTGGCGAACCACTCAGCTGGTGCCGAATCACATGGTACGGTAAGGGATGCCACTGAGTCTCTCTGTTCACACTCAGACATACATGTCTCCTTCCCTGCCTCCGTCCCACCTTTTCCCCAGCTGCAGGCGCTTCGTGCACAGTAACTTTCGCATTCGACCTTCGCCAAAGCGACGAAACCAAACAGTTTGGCCCATACCCCTACGCGATCGCTTACGACGATTACTTCTACTACGGGACAGGCGCGTCCGGCTGCTCTAGCCCTGACGTCTGCGTGGTGACAGCCGTGCAGGTGGACCCCTCGGCGAACAACACTGGCAAGGGATACGGACAGTGCACACCGCCATCCAGACTCAAGGAGACGGGGCTCAACGATGCGCAGAGAGCCGAGGTGTGCTGCACGGATGCATCCCCTGTGACAGGAGGGCCGTTCTGCATGGCGCCGAGCACGGTCAGCTGGTCATAGAGCGATCATGAGACAGACATGTCTCTCAGTAGGGCTTGTGTGCGGTGCTATTCATTTAGACCGTCGAGCTGCAGTCCTCGCCCCATCGTAATGCGGTCCCCATTGCCGAGACCTCCATCAACGCGGTGGAGCGGTTCATCGAGAATCATCCTAAGCACGGATGGAAACATATCGTTCGCTGGCTGTTCCCTGGAGCTGTCGACTATATAAGTGAGATTTGATGTCATGCAGGCAAACTCTGCATGTACACACCTGTGTGTGTTGCTCTTGCCGTTTGGGTGTTTGCAGGCCCTCTCCGCATCTCTAACTGAACCGACCGCCCGAGTCACAGGCCGACGTCCGTCCATCGGTCCGTCCGCCTGTCTGTCTGCCTGTCTGCCTGTCTGCCTGTCTGCCTGTCTGCCTGTCTGCCTGTCTGCCTGTCTGCCTGTCTGCCTGCCTGCCTGCCTGCCTGCCGATGTGTAAGTGCCCGGGTTCGTATCTCCCCGGCCAGCCGGCGAGACATTCATTTGATATTGGACGGGCGCCTTCGTGCGTTATTGAGTGACGCGGGGACCGAAAGGAGAGGGGAGCATCGAAAGTGAAGCAGCGACTGACTGACAACCAACCAACTCCTGTAAAGCCATTCAATTCGTTCTGCCTGCCTGCCTGCCTCTACAAGCCACGTGCACGTGCGACATGAAAGCACACCTCTTTGCACGTCACTTAGGGTACCTGCCATCGGACATGTAGATATCGCTGCCACTCGCTTTGGTGGCATCGGTTTCGTGCAAGCAGATGATGCGCAGGCCTGGGCGAAAGGCGCGTGCACCGGGTTAAAGGAAAAGTCTCTGTCCGGGCGTACTATAAACGCATGCACTTGCACGCATCTGTACAGGTCCACAAGACACAATACATATCACCCCGTAGGTAAGTATAGTATACGTATCGTGTATCGTGTAGGTAGGTGTCCCCACAGCAAAGCAAAGTAACAAGCAAACAAGCAAGCAAGCAAACAAACACATACGTATGCGTCGTTTGACATCTGTATTACGGATCCTGACGCAACGTCTTACGCTTCCAAGAACCGATCGACCAAGTCCATCCTGAAGCAGCACGAGACCGCCAAGAAGAAGAAATACCGCTCGGCCGTCTGCGACTCCCGCGTGACCTTCTGCCCTCTGGTGGTGACGTGTGACGGTGTGTGGGGACACGATGCCAACGTGTTCATCGCCCACATGGCTCATGCGCTGTTGGAGAAGGAGGGGTGGAAGGGTCGGGGGTCCAGTCATGTGTCTGGATGG